CTGCAGGTGAGAAGGCTCCTGGCGCCGCGGCTGCAGGTGACGACAGCGGATCCGGAAGTCCAAGATCTGGAAACTCTGCAGGTGAGAAGGCTCCCGGCGCCGCGTCAGCAGCGACGGGCACAAAGTCGGCGGGTGCTGCAGAGGGGGCAGCGACTGCGGCTGGCACTGCGCCTCCAAGGAGGTTGCCGACGATAGGGAGGCCGAGCTGTCTCCGGATCCAAGCTGGAGAGCCTTGTTGATTGTGGAGGTCCGAGTCGGCGTCCAGGATAGGCGCTGCCAGGCATGCGGCCAGCAGTGCCGAGAAAGACAGTGCTGTCTTCATGGTGAAGAATGGTGGCTCAGCTTCGATACTTTCGGTAAGCGAACGACCTGCAGGCCTTTTATACACACGCCCATGTTTCTTGCAGGGCGAATTCCAGCCTTGCGTACTCATACGATGCCCAGGGAACAGCAAAGGGATGGGACCATCAAGCTTCCTAAGCATTTCTGCTCCCGAAGCTTCCGCCATTCCAGTGTGTGGTGCACACGTTGGTCTTGACATCATGACTAGTAGAATAAGATGGCTGCCTTGACAGGTTCGCAAACGGTTATGTGAGCCTTGGATGTGAACTACAAACAGGTCTTGAGATGTACTTGATGCCAGCGCGCTCACGTCTCCCGCCTCTCACAGGTACACGGGCGTGCCCAGGCTGGTATCGCGCACGAGACTGACTACAACTCTTTGTTACTGATCTCCGCCACTTTAACTTTCGTGGCGCAGGTACCGATGCGCCATCTCGGCCGATAGCAACTCCCTTCGTTCAAAGCCGCGTGGCGTATCACTTGGAATGTGACATTTAGTCTCTTGATGATAGTCGCATGAGGTGGCTGACGCGAAGCATTACGTACGAGCATGACCGGCTGTCTCCTGTGACTCTAGATAAAGCGACAGGCCCATGGAAACAGCCACCGGCGTGACTGGAGATCGCATGTGTCCGCAAGGATGCAGGATTTACTGCCGGAGAGGAGTCGGCTGAGGAATGTGCTGCATCTGTTGTTGAAGAGTAGGGCCGACTTCATAGTGCAATCGCGTGGAATGCTGACCACTGATTTATCGCAGGCTCAATGCCAATCGAGGTTGACGTTCCTCTTCAACCAACAAGCTTTGCAATAATCATCCCTCAGCCGTTCTGCGTATGCCTCCAGGAACAGCGCGCCGACGTACGATGTTCGCTCGATCCTATCAAGCAAGCCGTAGACGTCCTGTAGCGTCGTGTAGCTCACACTGCGTCTTTTGTAATCGACGAACGGTGGCTGGCTGGGCGGTGCTGCCACTGCCACTGACTCGTATCGGTCGGGCGGTGTTGGTAGCCCTCCTGTTGCCTTGCTCTTGGATGGTGGTGGTGGCAAGTCCGTAAGATGGATTGTCGCTTCTGGTGTCTTGGAGCGAACGGGCCTGCTCCTGCTGTCCAGTATCTTCAGGCCGTCTTCCTGCAAGCGTGGTTTTTTCGGTGGTGTTTGCTGCTCATCACCCGCGAGCATTGCCTGGAAGTCAAGCTGCGTTCCGATCCAGAGCGACGAGGTCGTCTCGGCGATGTCTTCAGTCGTGAAGATGTATTTGAACGCAAGCGTCATCTCGTGCTCGTTCGCGTAGGGGTGGAAGCCGTTTATCCGGCTATGCTTTCCGCCCGGCAGCTGCTGCGGATCCTCGATGAAGGGATCCAACATACCCAGCTCGTACCAGCTCGTACCTCACCGCCCAGTCCAGCTCCTCATTCAGCCTCTTGTCGTGAACCGACGCAATGCCATCATCTCGTGACAAGCGCTCAGCAACAAGGAACAGCTTGCGTGTGTGAGCAGTAAGCTTTCGCGGGGTCAAACACGCTGGACATGGAAATGAGTAAGACTGAGCGTGCTCTGGTCCGTGATGAAGCTTGGACCAAGAGTCGAATAAGAGGAGGCCGAGTGGGTAAGGAACCCAGTGGAAGCCGTGGCACAATTTGCTCCGTGGGTGTGGATTGTGGCGGACTACTGGCTTGCATTGTACGCCGGGGGCGATCAACGCTGAAGTCGACTGGCTTTGGGCTGGACAGGACGAAGACGGTCCTGCCCAGTGGCGGTCTGTATGAGGAGGTTGAGTCGAATGGGACTGTTCGCCAGAGTATTTCACTGCCTAGCATCTAATGGAGATGAAGGCACAGGATGCTGCCGCGATTGCTGAATGTCGGTAAGAGGCTGCCTTGCTGGCCGAGGCGTAACTCTGAACGCAGCTCCACGCGGTATCGACGGCCCAGCCACTGCGGGACGATTGCCTCTCAACGCCCTGGGGGAGGGTGTCCCCCAATCTGCGTCCGCAGCACGCTTGCGCGGGGTCCTGGCCATGTCAGGACGCGCGTCGTAGGCGTGATGTTGAGTTGCGAACCCCCGTATCCGCGATCCATTTCCAATCGCCAATCAATACTTGTGCGGCTAGCGTGACGGAGGGGGTGAAGGAGACGCGACGATGACGCACCGTGGACAGGGATCACCGTTCCCGCTAGCGTCAAAAAGTTCCGAGGCGGAAGCTGCGAACGCCCATGCATCTCGTGATCGTCCCTTCCACAGCGCGATGAAAGCAATAGGGAGGTCCCTCGGGGGCCGTCGTCTGCCCACAAGTGTCCATCGCACAGCATGCAAAACGTCACGTGCCTTCACCAAACCCGCCTTCGCCCCGAAGCCCATCATCGACATCAAGCACATCCGCAACGCTCCCGGCCTCTACGAGCAAAACTGCATAGACCGCAACTACGGCGCACACGCCAACAGCTCGTGGCGCATCGTCGAGCTGCACGAGCAATGGCTCGCTCTCCAGAAAAGCGCGCGCGAGCTGCGGTCACGCAACAAGGCGCTGCGGGAGCAGATCACGAAGGGCGGGGCCGAGAAGGACAAGGCATTGGCTGAGGCAAAGGTGACGAAGAAGGAGCTGGGCGAGATTGAGGCGAAGGAGTCGCAGCTGCAAGAAGAAATTGAGGGCCTGGCGCAGGATCTGCCGAACCTGAGCAGTGTGCACACGCCTGTTGGCACGGAGGCGGCGCTGGTGGACTACATTGGCGAGCACCCTGATCCGGGGAACGGCAAGCCGTGGAAGAGCCATGTGGATGTCGGGCAGCAGCTGGGGATCCTGGACTTTAGCGGTGCGGCGCAGACGTCGGGGTGGGGGTGGTACTTCCTGGTCGGCGACGGTGCGATGCTGGAGCAGGCGCTAGTGCAGTACGCGCTGAGCGTGGCGCGGCGGAAGAAGTGGAAGGTGGTTGCGCCTCCGTCGCTGGTGTACTCGCACATTGCGTCGGCATGTGGGTTCCAGCCGCGAGATCAGCATGGCGAGCAGCAGGTGTATGCCATTGAGCAGTCGGACAAGGACAAGGCGAAGCCGCAGCTGGCCCTGGCTGGGACGGCGGAGATCCCGCTGGCTGGCATGAAGGCCAACAGCGTCTTCGGCCCGTCGGAGCTGCCCCTCAAGACGGTCGGGGTGAGCAGATGCTACAGAGCGGAGGCTGGAGCCCGCGGCGCGGACACCAAGGGCTTGTACCGCGTGCACGAGTTCACCAAGGTCGAGATGTTCGCGTGGACCGCGCCGGACCAGACTGGCGACGAGCACTTCACGGCGGGCGATGCATCGAGCTCGGCAGCCGTCTTCGAGGAGATGCTCAGCATGCAGCACGAGATGCTGAGCGCGCTGGGTCTCCACTGCCGCGTCCTGGAGATGCCCACCACCGACCTCGGCGCAAGCGCAATCAGGAAGCGCGACATTGAGGCGTTCTTCCCGTCTCGACGCTCGATAGACGACGGCTGGGGCGAGGTCACGTCCACATCCGTGTGCACCGACTACCAGACTCGACGGCTGCACACTCGTCTGCGCACGGCCAACGCCAACAAGCTCGAGTTCCCCTTCACGCTGAACGGCACCGCGCTGGCAGTACCGCGGGTGCTAGCCGCTATCCTGGAGAACCACTGGGACGAGGAGAGCGCGACGGTCAGGATACCACTGGTGCTGCAGCCGTTCATGGGCGGGCAGACGCGGATCTCGAAGCAAGCGTAGCAGGCATCCGCCCGACATGTACAATATGTTGATTACCCCTGTAACATAGCACGAAGCCTCAACGCGACTTGACGACCAGACCCACAGCTCTGACCCTGTCCTGCGTGTGGTGTCCTGTCGTCCAGTTGCGTGGGGCGGGTGTGCGCTCGCGTCTGGGGCTGATTCAAGCCGTGGCTGGCATGCTCCCGCGATTGGCTGTGCTCGCTCCGTTGCGCTGCATGCGTCGCGCAGAGCGGGTGACGCCACACCGACCAACGCCAGTCTCGCGGGCTGTCGCAGATGCGCTGAAACCCTGCGCCTGCTCGCCCTCTCCGCAGAAAACACCCGTCTCGTCGTCGTGCGCGCGCACCTGGTGGTCTCTGTGTCCCGGCCAGAGCGTCGCGGTGGGGTTCGCGTCAGACCGTCGCCAACATAGATCCTTGATCCCTCGCCAGCCTCGAGCCGCACCTCGGGACGCCTCTGCGCAGCCACCCGCTTTCGACGCGCCCCTCCTTGCTGTCCGCGTGTGACAGCCTCCAGCCTCTCGTTTGGGAGCAGTCCCAGTGCCGCCGCGGGCGACGACTCGACAGACGACAGCATTCCCAGTGCCGCAGCGCGCCACAGCTCGACAAACGACAGCATTCCCAAGGCCGCAGCGCGCCACAGCTCGACAGACGACAGCATTCCCAAGGCCGCAGATAGCAGCCAGCAGGCAGCAGGCAGCAGGCAGTGCTTGACATCCGACACCGCACACTCGCATGGTCTCCTACCCAGACTCCCAGGCCGGGAGCAGCGCCAGCGCCGAGCGCGCCTCATCGCTCGCCATCCGCCGCCCGCCCTCGGCCGCCTCGCACTCGTCGCGCACGTCGACCATCCGTCGACACCGCCCGCACCGCTCCGCCGGCTCGAGCTATGGCGGCAGCAGCGTCGGCCCGCAGAACGAGTTCCCCGTCTTCACCCACACGGGCGACGTGGAGATTGTCGTCGCCAACGGCCGCCGCGAGAACCGCTACGTGCTGCACCGGCTGATCCTGACCCAGTGCTCGGGCTTCTTCGCCGCGGGCACGAGCGACGAGTGGGCCACCGCGGGCGAGGGCAGCGTCGCCCAGAACATGAGCGCCGCCGCCCTCGCGCGCACTCCATCGGGCGCGCGCCAGGAGAGGAAGAGGTGGCGCTACGAGCTGGACTGGCGCAGCGACGACGACGTGCCCATGCTGGTGCCCAAGGTAGGCGCGCGGGAGAATGCCGGCGAGCGCAGACTGACAGCGACACAGCGAGCCCAGCCCGCGTTGTCCCCCATGTTCGGCGACGGCGCCCACCCCCCGCCGGCGCGCAACAAGCCGACCGCCCCGCCGTCGTCGTTTCTCCGCAGCGCCAACGCCTCCACCGCCCAGCTGTCGACGTCGACGCCCGCGCCCGCGCGCGCGCGCGCGCCCGTCGACCCCGACGACGCCACCTTCTCCGACTATGACAACCTCTTCCGCATCTTCTACAACCACGCCCCCGCCCTCGACACCCTGAACATCGCCCACGCATACGTCGAGTGCAAGTCGCTGCTGGCCCTGGCCGACATGTACGACGCCATCCCCGTCATCGGCCCGCGCGTCGACCACCACCTGCTGCGCTTCCAGGGGCGTCTGTGGAAGCAGATTGCAAAGTACCCCCCGAGCTACCTGAAGCTGGGCTACATGGCCCGCTCCAAGGCCATCTTCGCCGAGGCCATGGTGCACGTCGTCGGCCAGTGGCCGGCCGCCGCGCCGCAGCTCACCAACGCCATCCCAGACGCCGTGCTGGACCTGATTGAAGACAAAGTCGAGGACATGGACGAGCTCAAGCTGAAAATCGAAGTCAAACTCTTCCGCCTCAGCCTCACCACCTCGCGCGGCGAGCGTGTCTCGCCGAGCAGCAACTGGCTGGACTGGATGGCCGTATCGCTCTTCCGCCAGTGGCTCGCCGAGAACACAACACCGCCCCCCGCCCCGATCCTCAAGTCCCCGCGCGCCCCCGCCCCTGCCCCGCCCCGCGCACAGGAGCACTTCAACACCGGCCGCGTCTTCCGCCTGCTCGGCGCCGGCGGCCCCGCGTATCTGGGACATGACGAGTGCAAGCGGTTCCTGCGCCTGCAGCACGAGCAGTACAACCGCGACAACCTCAAGCGGTTTGAGAGGCGCGTCGAGGAGGTCAAGAACAAAGCAAAGGACGCGGTGAAGCCGCTCATGCGCAACTTCCTCGAGCTTGATTTGAGAGAGGGCGGGCTGCCGTATCTGACGTGCACGAGGGTCGATCTTCAGGATTTTCCGTGGGATGAGGGGGATGCTGCTTTCTGAGGCGGTGAAGAGGGGGGCGGCTTTGGCTCGCATTTGTTGCACATGTGGATTTTTTTTTGGCACATGTGAATTTTTTTGGCACGATACCCTGGTGTTTACTTGGCTTTGCTTTACAGATGGGTTTGATACGATTTATGAGCGACGAGTTGAGACGAGCAAGACGAGCAAGACGAGCAAGACGAATAAACCACATGACAAGCCACGCTGGCCGTGCACCCCCCTCTTTCTCAATCGTGTGCCAAGGCCTGCAGATTTAGTCGCTGCCTGCCTCTGGATGATGTCATGTGCTGCTGTAGTGTGTGCGGTTACCGACTGGCTCGACTGCCGTGTTTACGGGTCAGGCCACGTGGTAAACGTATGACCAGACTGAGCTGTGTGTGTATGTGTGTGTGCGTGTGTGTGTGTGCGCGCGTGTGTGTGTGTGCGTGTGTGTGTGTGTGCGTGTGTGTGTCTAATTATTATTGGAACGACCGTACGTGCGTTGTTGGCTCGCGATGAACTAGAGTAAGCGCTGTATCAAAAAAGTAGAATCTACGGTTCTAACTAGAAACCCAGTAGACTCGTGCAATACTTCAAGTCGAGAAACCTCCTTCTCACCCTCTTCTCCTGGTGCTGGTGCGGTTCCTGACCTCCCTCCCCTCAACCTCGAGATGCGTCGTCTTCGCCGCGACCTTGACTACCTCCCCGTCGCCATTTACGCCAAAGTGCTCCGGCACCAACACCTTGCCACCAGCCCCGACACCAGGCGTGCCAACGTGAATGCCCTCGATAAGCACCTTGTCGCTCTCGGGCATATCAATGTGCGACGGCTTCTCGACGCGCCTCGTGCCGAGCGGCGGGTCGAAGCGCTTACGCAGCGTCTCGATCATCTTTGCGAACCAGAACCAGTTCAGCCCGTTGAGCACCAGGTTGGAGGCGAGATACGCAAGGGCGAGCCACAGCGGGACCGTCTGGCCCTCCGCGAACACCAGGATATCCGTGCGCTGCACTCCGGCGCCGATGGCGGTCGCGTTGTTGAGGGACTTGACGGCTGGGTCGAGAAAAGTCACCGGCCCGGCGTGGTACGCGGTCCAGATGTCGCCGAACACTTTGATGGATTGGTACGTGCCCCAGAACAGGCGGCAGGTCATGAAGGTGAAGAGCAGGAAGATGCCATTGATGAGCTGCAGGGTCGAGCCGGTGAGGTTGAGCTTGTCGCAGAACCAGTGGATGTTGAGGAAGGGCGAGGAGAGCTCGTAGAGGATAAAGGTGGGGGCGTAGTAGTTCACAAAGGGTCGCTGGAGTGTATTAGCATCGTTCCCCGCGCGTTTATATCACCGCCTGAACATGTGCAGCTTTCAGAACAGAGGGCAGGGACACGTACGAAACCCAATGAGAACACGCACAGAGCGCTGATGGCATGGAACAGCATGCCAATACCGAAGACGCCCATGTTCTGCACCGTAATCACCAAGTCCCACAGAAAGTACCCCCCAGCAAATGCCTGCACCAACCCCGTGCCCCCCGTGTATCCATGCACTCGCTCAGTCTTCCCCATCTGATCCCTCTCTTCATCAGCCAGCATGACCCATAGCGCGAGGCCGCAGATGACCGTGCTCTGCACAAACGACACAATATGCACGTCCCAGTTGAGCTTCGTGCGCGCGTTCAGCTGCGGGTAGACGGTGGGGAAGAAGTAGCGGCTAAACGCGGGCGAGACATAACTGTTCGTGGTGTGGTACAGTGCGTACGCGATGACTACTTCGTGGAAGTGCAGCGGTAGCGTATGCAGGTGTAGGGCGTCTGCCACCGGCTGGACAAGTTTGACAAGGTATTCAGGACTCTCGAAGGGGAACGGATCGTGCATCGCGGCGGTAGCGCAGCCTGTTGCTGGTGGCTGTTGTTGTCGTGAGTGAGGAGTGCGGTGAGCGGACCGGTGCCGCGTGGGCCGCTTGGAGCTTCGAGGGACACGAGCTGAAGTGGGTTGAGACGGTGTGGAAGACAAAGAGCGCTCTCAGTGCGGTGAAGGCAGAGAAGGCGCGGGAGCGACGACAATGTTGTGGCGGAGGGGCTGGTAGAAGAAGGCGATTCCACGGCGGTCTGTTGATGCTGCCTGGTGATGTCGAGTTGCATGTGCCGTGGTCTTGAGGATGCGGAGGACCGCCAACCTGGGTCAACTTCCGAGGCTTAGCGACATCCTCACCAGGGCTGCGCCATCGGGTTACATCACGCCTGTCGCGTGCAATATGTCTTGCAACTTTCCAAGCTGCAAAGCCCACGAGAATGCATCATTCGCAGAGCATGCCTGTTCCTCAGATTTCGTTCTCCTGCGAGGCGTCATTGCGACAGCTGTCAGACGAACCTTGTTTAGTGCACGTTTCGGAACACCACCACGAACCTCGCGGTTTCTCTGAAGATCTCGCAGTCAATCGACTCTACGTATACAACCGATCCTTGCACAGAACTCGGGCTCTGATCATATCTGCATCTGCAAAAGCGATCTGGCCAACTTCATCGTCCGGTCAATAGTCTTCGAGCCACGCAGTTTGTATTTTGCCTTTCAGAACACTGTGAGCACAGCGTCAGCCTTGGCGTACCAGCATGTACACAAAGACTCTAGACTGACCTTGAGAGTGGCGTAGCCGGCTGACACAGTGAAAGATGCGTTACCGACAGCATTCTCTGGTATGCCACGAACAGGCACCCGATCAACGACTCGAAGACAGAGGTTTCGTCTGGTCGGCACGACTACCCAATCGTGTGGTGCTTCAAGATTGTAGCCAGGTAGCGTGTCCAAGCAAGGCATGCGAACGTTACCCCAAGCATCGGTCTTTGCAGCGGCGATGACCTTTGCTGCTCCCCCAGTTTTTGATACCACGCTCGAAGTTGGAGTTGGAGCCATTGACCAAGACGGCGGCCGCATTTGGTGAAGAAACTGCGGCACCCACTTAGAAACGTGAATGTATATAATGAGCGTCGTGAGATAAGAAGACGTGAGGTTGCTACCTCGAGTCGAGTCGGATCGACGCATTCGCATTCGCGTGGAGTTCCACCGGCATTGAGCCCAAAGTGGGTAGGCTGGCGCTGACAGTTCGTCCTAGGTGCCGTAACCATTGCTGTTTCATCTCGTGAAGCCACAGGAGCGTGGACCATGACCCTTTCTAGCCGACTTCTGTCGCACGCTGCCGGCACGCTCAGCCTCGTGAGGCTCAAGTCTTCCCTGAGCCACGGGCTTTCATTAGCTAGGTCACGTGCTCGGTTCATCTCTCATTTGTATATAGACACGTTCCCATCAACTGAACAGACAGCAGTCACACAGAACAGATCACCGGAATAGTTGCTGTCCAGCTGGTCACAACTTCTTAAATATGCAGTCCATGACAGGATGTGCGCAGATGTGGGTTCCAGGACACGCTGGTCACTGGCTTGTTGTTACAAGTGTGTTTACTGCCCCTTGCCGCCCGCGCCTCCACCCGTTCCTGAATGTGTTCGCGCTAGGTACTCGCATCGACCCAGCTCCCTGGCATTTGATAGACGCGTCAAGCAATGGCATTTTCTACAATGACGGCAATGACCTTGGTCGGGCCAGAGCGACAACGAAGCAGACCACGTATACGCAAACCATTGATATACTCGGAAGACAGCATGCTCTCCAGGCTGACCACAGCACGATACAGCTTGGTGTTGGTGTTCGTTTTGCCTTGCCCCGGCACAACGTATCTCTTCACAACAAATGAACAAAGCTTTCAAGGTGCTTTGCAACTATCTCTCCGCTGCCTGCATCGCATGGAGGACGCGATAGGCTGTTCATGCGCGGGGCTACGTGCTTTCGAAGGTTGGTCGCTGCCCCTTTTGGCCGAACGTCTGATCGCCTTCTTTTGCCTGCCGAACGAATCTAAACCATGCATTAATATCATTGAATGAATCCCAAGGAAGACAATCACGGATCAAAGCTACCTACCTCCCAGAACACTTGAAACCACGCTAGCTCCTCCACACTTCGGCATACTACCGTTTCCAGGGTACGCTATGGTATGGGGGCCGAAACAAAGCCTTTCAACTACGAACGGCCACTTGCTGGTCAAGTGATCTCGATGCATACCAACACAGTACGCTGACTTATCTCAAGATGGGCGTAAGCTAGGCGAACGATGCACGAACACATCGAAACGATATTTCAGGCGGAACGCCATCTTACGCGTCCTTCCTTAACAGAGCTCACATACTCTCCATGTGAGCTCTGCGTCGCCCCCATACAAAGAACTATGTCTGCAAATTGGTCGGTGCGCAAAGCTCACAATAGCATATGCCTGGAAAGCACGAAGCATAGGCGCCAAGATGACCCTGCTGTAGGGAGGTTTGGACGCAGCCACGTGGACTGAGCACCATGGCGGACTCCGCCCCTTAACTCTGTGGAGATATAACGTAGCCTGAGACCCTCATCGACATGATCAGTCTGCAATAGTATCATGGAGGGCCTTTCGCTTGTAGCAAACGGTCGTTATCCACAAATCAACATTACAATGCAGGTCGCTGACTCTACGCAGGCCTTGCCGTTGTTTCTGTTGCCTTCCAACTGAGCGAAGCATGTATCAAGCTCTACGTATTTTGGGAGTCGATCGAAGACGCACCTCAGGAGATTGCTGCCGTGAAGGAAGATCTCCAGTACCTCATTTCCGTCTTCAAAGGGATCGAAAATTCTGAGAAGCCCTTGGGCCATTGCATAGCCGATGGCGTTCAGCATTGTCGCATCAAGATCGCGGTACGTCATTGAACGTCCACGGAGAGCTCAGTGCGCTAACAGTTCAGGATCTGATGTCCATCATCGAGAAGTTTAATGAAGGATTTCAGTCAGAGTCACGAAGGAGGCGCTTGCGTACATCCTTCAAAGCTGCCACGCACAGCAAGCATCTCCAGAGATTCCGTGACTCCTTGAACGAGACCAAGGCCACTTTGACCCTGGCTATGGTTCATGAATGGTGTGTACGCAGACTAGTTTAGCAGCTAGAATTAGCTGACATGATGCAGTGTCATGCAATCGCTCACGTACAATATATATGCTGACATGAGTATTTCCCAAAGTATGCCAGCACGCTCAATAGTTGGCCGAGCACGACAAGAGATCATACCCAGTCCGGAAATGACCCAGCTATCTGAGCAAAGACAATTGCAGAGGTTTCCGTCCTCACGTGATGGCCACCGTTTTTTTCTCCCATTACCGGCAACTACCCAAGATGTTACCAAGAACGCTCTGACGTACTTCGAACAAGCAGTCTCCCAGCAGGCATTGACCGATTCCACAATGCAAGAATTGATGCTGCATGCCATCAGCTCTACCGCAATCGCCACCTTCCAGTCAACGTCGCTTGAGATCTTTGCCCAGGATGGCTACATGATGGACGAATGCGGTCAGGTACGGGCAAAGACCTTTGTCTACTCAGAAAGTCTGAGTTGCCAAGTACGCCATGAGGCGACCAGTTTTCGAACAGCGTTGGGTTGCTTGTGGGTACGCCGGACTTTCATCAGCCGTGCCAAAGAAAACACAAGCAAGCTTGAAAAAGCGCAGACAGTAACCTCTGTTGTTTTCTACCCAACACGATGGCTTCAACTTATGGGCCTCAAAAACGGATTTGAGGCTGTAATGGCATCCGCTGGCAGAAGCTGGCTATACAACTGCAGGATAGCTGTCACTCGCGCCGTCCCAGAGGACGCGATGATTTTCGAGCTTTGTTTGGCAGGTGAGACTAGAGCCGTACAGATGCTTCTGCAGAAGGGGCAAGGTAGTGTGGTTGACACGAGTCCCAAAGGTTGGAAACCTCTACACGTAAGTCACCCTACTTGGTCGTGAAAAATCAAAGCAGCGTGCTTACGCTCACTAGTTTGCTGCAGTAGCAGGTCATACCGATTTGTGCGCTATGTTGATCCGAGCAGGAGCAGACAAGTCTGCGCTGGTGTACGAAGGGCCCACGGAGTCTGTCCTGTGGGTTTTTCTCCCCGATATAAATGCACACACACTAATGAGCAAAGGTCTCCAATCTCTTTATATGTCTCACACTCCACAAATCGGAGTGCCGAGGAGAAGATCGAGATGCTTAGACTGTATTGCGACTGTATTGACCTATCCGATGCCGATAGCGACGGCTGGCTCGTTCATGAGTGGCTCAAGAAAGCTTACGCAACTGAGCGAAAACCCATATCGCAGAACAGCATCACTTGGCTTCTCCACCTAACAGCGAACGAAGAGTATGTCGAGTTCAGTGCTCGAAACATCTGGTCCGCTCTTCAGCATGCCGTCCGATCAGTCCTGAATCATGGAAGATTCAGCAACACCCTGGAGCGCATTCTGGATCTATCGCTCGAGGAGCACTTTGCCACTAGCCAACGGCATATTGATGCCTTGGGCGTTTGGCTAGCTCTGCGAGTCAACGGTCGGGTGTTATTACCGATGGTGCTTAACGCAGGCTCATTCCTGCAAATGAAAGGATTCGACTGGATTGATGACGATATGCCACATCGGCTATTTCTGCAGGCGCTACCCCATCTCTACGCAGCATGGTGTCATACCGTGCTCGAAGCGGTCGAACAGGTTGAAATGTATATGCGAGAGGAGTTCCACCAATGCCTTGGGCAGCTCAACATGACGCGAGAGACCTTTTTGCATACCATCTCTCGTGAGAATACGAATCATAGGCCCACGAACGGACGAATTTGCACAGACTGCCAGGTCGAGTACAGCGCTCTCGATCACGGACTTGTGCAACCGGCAAGAATCGCCGTCACCGAGTGTGTCTCGACTGGTCATTCCTTCGACTGCAATTGCCAGAATATGGACGAAATTACCTCATACATGACGAAACTTACCCTACCGACTTACGCTGGCGCCTATGACAAGGATGGTGAAGGGCAGTACTTTGACACAGAAGATGAATTTTTCGACGCAGAGCCGCACATATTCGATCATACTAGTTGCAACAAGCCTGATCCCTTCTCAGATATCGCTACAATGCTATTCCGTGCTCACGGTAGAGCGTGGATAGGGAGCTATGCTATCGGCGAGGAGCTTTGCGCGTCCTGCTTCTTGTTCAGAGAAAATTACATCAGCAAAGATGGTTTCGCCGCGGATTTTCCGCCTATGCCGAAGAGCTTCGAGAGGCTTCGAGCCAACCAGTGAGCTTTCCTGATGGTTCACATTAAAAATGTCACATCTTCTGGTCTCTCAGCTGCAGCAGACACGCTGCCCTATAAGCCGATGCTTTCTTGCCCCCTATACTTTACCGAGACGCGCTCTGATACCACCTGGATGTCACAAACCGTCAGCAGAGGAGCATAGATGCTTTCCTACAGAACATGAGAGAGGAAGACAGCAGTGCTACGAGTGGCGATTTACGGACTGAGAGACACCTTGTGTCTGACGGTGATGACTCATGGTATGAGGAGCTCAGCAGCATGCGTGGTGGAGATGTTGGAGATGCCAATAGCCGTTAAAAACCAGTCAGCGCAGTCACTATGTCCAATATATAACTCGAAGGTGAGCTTTTACTATGTTCCGAACGACTTTATTACATTCTTTCGAAGAAATTGTTGTTTTTTCAAGTCGGTCTTTTTCTTTCAAGACGACAGAGAGATGTGAATCAAGGATACGCCCTTTCTGACCCGACAAGGGTTAGGCACAATTTGGTGGTAGGAGATGTGGCACCCAGGCTGGAGTTATGGAACTGGGCCTCAATTGGATGGACGTGTGTCATCCTGTTCTGTCCGAACATGGAACGTTCTGTAAGCGCTGATCAAAAGCCAGCGGATTGTAGATCTGCAGCGGGGATGCCGGTATATGAAGCCCGAATTGCCAGGCACAACGCATAGTCTTTCACCGTGACAAATCATCATACTATCACACGACAAGTACCAAGTACATAAAGAGTTGTAATGCTATATAGCACTTGACGCTGGACAGTACTATAATGCGTATTTACAGTTCTTGGCACATGCCAGCTGGCAAGACTCAATCAGAGAGCCAGAAAGCACTCCCTATAACGCCATGCAAACAAAATTCGTATACAATCGTTTTGCTTTTCCTCTTTCCTCTCCTTTTGACGCAAAAAGTACATGCTGAACCAAAGAGGATGTGAACATTGGCAAACACAAGCAAACCGTGAACGTTGATCGTCCATTCAGTTTCTATGTCTCCGCCCAGCGGGCGATGGTGATGCTAGTGGTGTAAACCATAGCAACTAGACCCAGGACCATCATCGCAATATCACCAGCCTTAGCCCACGGGCGCTCAGCCACACCTTTGTAGTGCAGGTAAGCCGGGTAGATATACACCAGTGGCACACAAGCAAAGCTGCCAATCAGAGCGACAAACTTGTCAAGATCGCTCGCGCCAAGAGCAGCGACGACACCAGCGAAGATGACTAGCGCAGTCCTGAAGGCGTTCTTCTTCCACTTGGTGAGGCTATCCTTCTTGCCAGACGCACGGCCGAAGATTTTAAGCTCGATGGTGCGCATAGCGGGGAACAGCTGGACGGGTGTGCCGACCAAAACGGCCATGGAGTATAGGAATTGCACGGCGTTGACAAGTTTGCTGGATTGCGGGAAGTTGGTGATGACCTCAACGGAGACGTTCTCTCCAAAAGTGCCGTAGCAGAGCACACCAACGGAAGTGAAGATGACAGTGATGATTGCCATGACGATCAAGAGCAACTTGCTGAAGTGCTCCGGGTGCTTCATGCTCGATTGGATGGGAAGAATGAGGCCAATACCCTCGAAGGTGAATATCGCAGATCCGATGGTCATGGTCCAGTCGCGGGGGTTGAAGAGCTCGATGCTGGGGTGGAAGCCCCCCATCTTGCTGATCCAGGAGATATCGTACCAGTAGATGTAAGTCAAGCCAATCAGGATGAAGATGTCTGCAAGCAGAGCGGCTGGGCCGAGCTTGGAGATATTACGGATGAACGCCAGGGGGATCAAAAGTACGAGCTGGATGCCGATGAGAGCGTTCGTACCGAGCGGTTTGGAGTTAGGCGTGACTGCGTCAAAAAAAGATGCTAGGTTTTCCGCCGTGAAGATGAGACCTGCGCAGACAAAGCCAAATTGCGAGAGCGTAATCGAGATGAGAATAAGCTGGCGCAGCCTGTTTCCAACGATCAGCTGACCAAGGTCTCCGTAACCACCTCCTCCGTACCGCTTCCTGCACGAGAGGAGCAGCTCGAAACAAATCATGGTTACGGCAGAAACGACGACCAGGGTGATAGCCGAGAAGAGCATACCACCGTTCTTGAATGCTTTAGGTAGAAACATGATACCGGTACCGACGAAGGCCTTCAGGAGAGTGAAGAACGACTTCATGTTGGAAGCGTCACCCTGCTGCCTGAGCCTCCTTGAGCTCTGCCTTCTCCCGAGCAGCGGTCGGCGCTCGCCCTGCTCTTCCTCATCATCGTCCTCGATAGCTGTCTCATCGTCCGACTCTTCGAGATCTTCACCAGCGAAGTTGCCATACAGCTCGAGAAAAGAGATGAAGTTCCTCGTGACTGGCTCTGCGATGTAACTAACGCTCCTGGCCTGCTTCTGCAGGAACTGTCGTCTCAAACCCCCCGGTGCCATCTGTTCCTGAACAGGAAGCTCATCGTGCTCGATGTCTGAGACGATCGATGGCGCATACTCGTGCGTATTAGAAAAGGTTGCAGCTCGCTTGTGTAACTGCTGCCGCCTGCTCTTGGCGGCAATCTTGTAAAGATCGCGGTGGATATCGCCACCCTGTAGCCTCAACGATGATTCTGGGGCGTCCCGAACGGAGTTCGAAGAGCTGTTGGCATCATCCGCTCCTGGAGTCGCGGGATCTAAGGTGTACTCGTACCCGGGATCCAGATGTTGCTGGAGGACCTTGGCGCCTTTGGGATCCTCGCCTGCAGTCGTCTGTGGCGTGTCGGTCATGGCTGCGGCTTCTGCAAAAAGAAGCAGGATCTGTGAATGAGTGAAGATGATTGAGAATCTTGCGAGATGCACGTCGAGGCCCGGCGGTGTGTTGTTGAACAACGGGCCAATGACAGGGGCCAGTGAAAAGTTCAGGTGCGGGAGGCACGGACTCCTGACATCACCGCCGTTCGTTTCACCGCGGAACAGAACACCAGTAGTCTAGGCCTAGATTCAGAAAGCGAACGCGAAAGTGCGCGCTATCTAACAGTAGAAATGCGCCACTACAAACAGGTTTGAAGCAATCGAAGGGTGCAGTGCTCAAGATCTCAAGTGTTCGAAAATTGGTGTTTGTCGGAACTCACGATACTTGGCGCAGGAGCACGTGTGTGGGGAAAGAGCCGCCGAGGCGTAATTGGCACAGCTACAACGGAACCTCACAGGACACGTCCCGAGGAAAAGTCTCAACGCACGATCACCCATCACCGCCACGCGCCATCGCTGGCCGCCTTGTCAGCCCAAACTGTAGTGCATGGCACCATAGGCAGCGCGGGTATTTCAAAATACTGGACGACAAGCAGTTCTTGCAATTGCCCAGCTACAATTCTTGCGAGACACGAGTCTACACCACACATCACACCATGGACAAGAGCACTCCACTGCACGGCAGCGAGAGTAATGTCCGACCATACAGCATCTTCATCGCCTACATGATCACCTGCTTGTCCTTAGCCGTGTCCATCATTATCAAGCTGTTCGAGAAGACGGAGAAACTGCATGCTTCGGCACCTTCACGGCTGCCGCAAAGAAAGCATGTCTTGCTCTTTTCGGCTCTGGCTGCATGCAGTCTTCTCAGCACCTGGAGCTACATGTTACGATATTTCCAGTGGTCATATGACAATTGGCTCACAGTCCAATCACAGCACGAGATCGATCTCTCCGTCAAGCATTGGGGCTTATGGCTGAAAGAGACATCTCTGTTTAGGGAAGCCTGGGAGAGCGTAATCATAGGCCACAACAGGTACTGGTGGTCGCATCAAATCTTCTATTTTGCATGCGCGCTCGGTCTCCATTCGGAGCGAAAAGGTATGTCACACGACGTGCCAGGCTTCACACATACTGACTGAAAGAGGTGCTCGGCAAGGCATCTCGTACACATGGGCATTCATTCTCCTCGGGCAGATCGTTGCGATCAGCTTCGCTACAAACCTCTACTTCCTGACGTTGCTCCTCACGCCGCAACAGCAGCAGCTTTCAACTCCAGGTCCAGAGAAATCCGTGTCAAGGAAACTCAAATCGGCTCCCGTCTCAGGATACCGAAAGTGGTTCGGCCCGTGGCTCATCGATGGCCTATCTGTGTGGGTCAATGGCGCTGCCGCGAACGCCTTGTCCTGGGATAAATACCAGAACGGGGCACCGGGCTTCATGCAAATCCTCCTGCTTCCGCACGTAGCCTTGATGTTACTTCCAACTCTGCGCGCTATTTTGCCAGAAAAGTTTTTCCTCATCGGAGACACGACGACTGTGAATAAGATCTACAGATTTCTGTGGTTTCTAAATACTCAGTTTTTTGGCCAGCTTGTCTATACTACGTTCAAAGCCTATCGAGACGGCAACCTTGGTGGCATCCGTGACGCATTGCTGGAACATCCCGCGGTCAGCAGTGTCGGGTTCGATGTAATCTTCTGTTGGATTAGCTGGATCTGTTGGTGGCGGACACAAGACCACACAACGTGGTTCCTGATGCCTGACTTGTGAGGAATTTTGTGCCGAAGGCATCATCGACGAGAACTGCTATCATTGCTTTAGTTTGGGCTTAGGGAGGAAGCAAAGGCTGCTCTTGGCACTGACATTCGCGGTCTAGGTACTTCGTACTTCGCATATTCAGTGCAACTCGCCTTCGCCACCTTGCCGCAGTGCTGCGCCACGCGGTGTACAAGAAACTCTTTCTCGTATCGTACCATAACCTGAGTTGCCGCTCGCCGGATGCCCAGTCTGAGGATGCATGGAACCAATTCCATTCATCGGTCACGCTTCCGCGATATCAGCACTGCAGGATTGTAAAGATAGCAACGTATCATGATCACTAAGAGAGTCTTTGTGTGCAGGTGAAGAGGTCATCAACCCGTATAAGATGCATGCTCTTCCGTGGTTCCTCTAAAGCCCGTTCGTGCGATGTGACGGATGCCCAGCTTGCCTGGCATTGCTTGTCTGCTTACCCCACGAATCATGCCGTCATCTTTCTTGCCACCGCACCAAGCTCAGCTATCTTGAGCTCTTTTTGGAACCTTGACACCTCCACCTGTCTGTTTTAGGCAATTGATGGGAGAACTGCAGGACTTATACGGGTGACTTATACGAGGGATGGTTTGTCGTTTGGGAAGGTTGGAGCCAATGCAACGTCATCGCGCTGCGATCAGCGGGGCTTGTAACACCTGACCACCCCGAAGATCCGAGTGCATCAACTACAAAAGACGCTGTGAAGCTGCAAATACCAGAATCCTGATATAGTTCTTCAGAATCATACTCATCACCAAAACGATATTACTCATCATGAAGCTCACCACTTCCACAACCACTATGCTTCTCGCAGCATCAGCCAACGCGCAATGTACAACCAGTCCGCCATTCTACAACGAAACATCTAAGCCCTTCAGCCTTGTCCTGACATCCGACAATTCGACGATCAACGGATCCACCCTCTCAGCATGTCACACCGGCGCAGCGCTTGAATCGCTGTGTCTCTCAAGAGGTGGTGGTGTCTCCAACCCCAACCCAATTGCAGCCGCGACATTCAACTTCAACACCTCAACTGACCCGTTCACACCAAATGCCACACTTGGAACTCCCGGTATTTTGACCTGGACCCTGAAAACCAACTCCATCGATGTGCCCTCCAGTGTGTACTTTAACTACGATCCCTCGACAGACTCCGCCATCCCTATCCTGACTCCCGGCTCTGAGAGGCCGCAATTGCTGGCGTTCGACGACCAAGATAGACTGAATGTGCAAAGCTCCACTGACTGGACTGCAAACCCACCAAATTCGACAGGCACGACAAGAGCTTACTATAGGTGGTATGCATGCCAGACGTATTTCTCAGGATATAGCTATGAGAATTTGGCGTGGGGTCTTGGTTCTGAGAAGCCGCAAAATCCGACGTGTGTGAGCGTTGGGGTGAAGAGGGTCTTCATTTGAGCTTGTAGTTGTCGCTGTTATTGAACGTTCGTGGCGTGAATGGATAATTATTCAGCTATAGAGGTATGCTTAGTCCTAATAACACACTCCGGACATGAGTTACTATGTCTCCTCCAATCCTAAAATCTTGACCCGGGCAGAGTTATGTCAGTAACCTATCAGTTCGTAGTCCATTGCATGCACCAAGTCATCCCAATCTTGAACCCCTGCTCTTTTCAATCGGAACCTGGCAGCTGCTGACTTTAAGTACCAAATTGCGTAGTTATTTTTAATGCGGTAAGAAGTACTCAGAGTCAAGCACCGCTTCAATGAAGTCATCTTCATACTCCATTAACATTTCGTGACCGTCAACGTCTCGGCCGGATACCGCATAACTCTTGATGTCTACGGTGAAGAGTGTGTGAATCTCCTCGATGGTCAAGGGTCGCTCTGCAGCAAGAATCCAGGACTACAATGTCTTTGCGTTGTTATCGGACTCGAACGATGCGAAGAGCCTATGTACAAAGCTCTGTACAATGAGCCTCTTCGATTTAAGATCGTGCAGCACAGAATTGATGCCGTCGCCAGATTTCTGAAAACTAAGGATCTAACGAGCTAGGATAGTCTATAGGAATGTCCTATTAGCGGTCTGGATGCTGCGATCAAGCATGGTCTCCTGGTCATGACCATGCTTACTGTGGAAATTACGTTTATGAACGAGCGCCCTCAGGGCAACGGTATTGATGTTATCTCTAACTTCGTCACAAATGACTTCGTGAAACATATCAATAGCTTGTGTAGGCATCTTGGCTGTCGAGGAAAGCGTAATCGTCACTTGTAAGAACGTTCACTGCGTCGGAGTGCCTGACAGAGAGCCGACCTCATGCATCCAATCGATCTATCATAGCTCCCTCGTTCACACATCACACATTCATACAAATCTTGCAAGCTCCCTATGTTGAGTTGTCACGCACGCATCGAAGTCGGTGATCAAAATCTCATCCTTCCCACGTATGCATGAAATTAACAGTGTAGGATTATACACTGCAGTAGATGGATGACCTGCGACACGTCTAGCACGTGGGCCTGGGTGAGAAACGAAAAAGGTGAATTGGAGGTGGTGAAGCAGAACGGTGGCCCAGAGTCATCCGTCTGCATGCGCGACCCCGATCGGCTGTCACTTTAATGGACAACTTCGACACATTCATTCAGCGACAGCAGCTCCATCAAGAGATACAAGAGTTCCATACATGTGATGCAGCAAGTCATGATGCTTGAGAGATGTTGTAAGTTTCAGTCTCTGCTTCTGTGGAAAGACATTGAGCGCGGTAACTTCCTCTTTTTTAGATTCAAATAGACACCCGGGTATCGAACAACTTTTTGAATCCAAGATCATGTACAGAAGAACCTAATGTCCATTTTCCTAGTCTCAAGAGTAGACGTGACTTTTTCCTTACAGGTTATTTGAGCGTGCACAAGATTTGCTGAAACATATGCGTCACTAACGAAGACCTGATCCGCCCTCATCTGATCATCTATGCGACTTCGGGTTTAAGCAGCCATGACTTGCAGTATTGAGAATCTTCAGATTGTTAATGCTTCCGCAGACAGTCATGATCATCGCTGCATCGTCAATATCACCCTAAGGTAGTTACTAATCAACCACAATCGTCTTTTGTGCAAATGATGAGAAACATAGTTCAGGTCTATCGTCTTCTTAAAAGTTCCTCATAAGATTTGACACGTGTCCTTTGCTTGTTCTAGCTTCGAAGTTTTGAGACTTCGGTATTGAGAGAAGCAACAGGTGGTGATAAAAGTTGGCTTCATACTTAATTGCGCAGTATCAGGCCTTATAATGTAGACCTGAGCCCTGCCGTCGGACAAGGAGGGTATGGACATCTCGTGGTACTCGACTGCACAGAAACATTGCAGCATGCTCTTTCGTCTTGAATAGTTTCTTAGTCCTCTATTTCTGGCTTCCTTTGGAAGCAGACAAAATGGCGGTATCGTTGATCTTCCAGTCCAGTATTGAGGTGGGTACTGCGTCGAGAAGATATATGTCGAGCTAGACACTGGAGCTTCATGCAAAAGTTTGTGCAACATTATTTAAGGCCGCGTGGGAAGTCCGGCTGCAAGGTCTTGCGCAAGCAGTGCGCGCCAGCGCAGTCATGTATCGCTCCAAATCGTTTTTTGGTTGCCAAGAGCAAGACCCAGCAATATGCTAGCAATGTATAGGATCATTGACATGGCAGTCAGAGTGATCGATCCATGACATGAGCTCGCACGGACGTGAATCAGTGATAGGATTCTCCGTCCAGACTCGGAACGCAGCATAGAGTTAGCCGTGATTCGCTTTGATATGTAGGAGATCAGACTTAGGCACAGCACATTTGCGTTTCAGCAATCCTCTTAGGTCTCCTTCCAGACACCATGCTGTGGTTTAGTCGGAGAAGCTTCGCGTCGTCTTTTGAGAAGTGGAGGCAATCCCTCGTAGACGGAATTAAATCGTGTGTGTTATGCAGCAACGTGGATCATAAAATGGATCTAAACCGATCTTCCGGGTAGAAAGCAGTATAGCATGGCGGCAAGTCCTCCAACTCTCAGAATAAGAAGACGTGCGTTTTCTATGCGCTCGTTTCGATCAAGTCATGAGCAAAAGACAAGGAGAACAAAACGCATATGTAATGGTGCAGGACTTTGCTATTTTTTCACGATATGCGAGTGTCCATGATATTTGCAGATCAGAAAGTCCGCAGCGGAGAGCAGACGCAGGGGTGGGAGCAGACTTCTAAGCTTGCTGGAACAACCCTACGATTCTTCAGGTTGGCAGAGAGCGCCACAGCGGACATGAAATTTCCTCATCTCGTATTTCAAACACTGGGAGAAAATGTACCATAAAGGAGACAACAGGTAAGAGACGCAGATCCCTATACTTCCTCATGCGCGACACGAGATGCCAGCAGATGAACGGACCTGGTGAAACAAATCAGCCAAGCCCCATGGATTCTGCGCCGTCGGATTTCCGAGCTCACGAGAGGCAGGATATTTATATTTAAATTCTTGTTCAGTCGGACTTTCGCCTCTAGGTCACGATCTGAGATTGGGGGAAACAAAGGACAACAGAGCATCCAGCTTCATTTGAGCTTTTGGTAAGTCTCGAGGGAGCAGACATACCGACCCAGGTTTGATTTTAAACCCGTGGCTAGCGAAACCTGACAAATACGTGAATGTGGAGGCGGAGATGTGCAGCACCTCCACCCCAGGTAGGAACTATCAACCATGCTACCTTCCCTACTCTTCCTAGCGATGATGAAGCGAGCGCGAGAAAAGAAGGTTGACGTGATAAATTTTTAGTTTTCTTCGGAGGGATATATAATGCACCGCCTTATGGTTTCAACCTCATAGGCTTTCAGGCAGGAGCAGGCACATAAGTTCTAGTTGCCTTTTCTCTGAAGGGTGGAGTAGAGGGAGAATGCTGGAGGAGACATGAGAGCAATCCGAGACCTTTTTCGATCGCTTGAGGGAGAAACGTTGTGATAGAGCGGCCGAAAGCGAGGCTCGATGAGAAATTGATGGTTCGCATGCCACAAACACAGTCAATCACTTGCGATAGGTCGGCTCGTATCGATGCATGTAATCGATTCGTCTAGTGGCGTATGCGTCCAACATTTGAACCTCCACACAACAAGCCTCCTCAGTGCTGGAACACATCAACAACACCGTCCCACTTCGCCGCCTCTCTGCTCTCCCAATACCCGTCCTTCCCGCTTTTCAGTCTCCACACTTCCTCGTCGCCCAACGCCGCCGCATCCTCAGCTCCCGCCTTCGTGAACCACTTCGGCTTCCACTCCTCACCATGCTCCTCCATGACGCGTCTCCTCGCTCTCTGTCTCTCTTCAAGCCTCGCCTTCAGCGCCTCGGCCTTATCCAGATCGCCCTCCTCCCAAGCTCTCTGATCAGGTCTGAGGCGCGAGTCGGTGACAGGAATATGGCTGTCCTCAATGGGCGTGATCTGATTCAGCGCCGCAGCAAAAGACGTAAACCCGTAGTGTTTCTCTGGCTTCTCGACCAGCGGCCCAGCCTTCCACACAGTCTTGCCGCTCGGCTGGCCGTTGGATGTGAACTGCAGATCCGTCGTCCACTTCCCCACCGCGCCCATGGGCAGCACAGAGCCCGTGCTATCGAAGACCTGCACGCTGACGTCCTCTGAGCGGCCGGCAAACATGCCGCCGGCTTTGAATGTGCAGACTGCCTTCGCGCCGGTGGTTTCGCTGATGATGGTCATGGTGCCGGTCGGCTCGACGTACTTTTCGCCTGCGATGACGTTGCGCAGGTACGAGGTTGCGATGCTCCAGGAGTAGTGTTCGGCGCTGTTGTGTAGGAAGATGCGGACGCGGCCGTCGGTGTTGAGTTCGGCGCTTTTGCCCCAGAATTTCTGCACGGGGGTGGGTGATTGGATCAATGTCCAATCTTTGGCTTCGGCTTGGCAGGCCATGCGGACAGGGCGGTGGACGACCTTCTCCGCGATGAAGCGGTAGCCTTTGTCTTCGCGGACCAATTCGTAAGTCTCACCGAGCATGGGATTGAAGGGCTTGCGAATTGCGCGCTCTTTCACACGATTGCTGCTGAAGGCTGAGATGGCGAACGCGGCCACATAGACGAGGCGTTCGCCAGTCTCAGAGGGAGCTACAGCAGCAGCGTCAAGGAGCTCGCTGTACTCAAGCTGCTCAGCTAGTCGTTGCAGGGCCGATGTAGGCTCGTTGGACGACACAGGCATAGCAATGGTAGACAGATCCTTGCCGACATTCTTCCGCAGGAACGCGATCAGACTGGGCGGTTGCACTTTCGGTGCTTGGATGATATTTCTGCGCTTGACAGGATCCAGAGGGAGCGGAGCAAGTGAGACTGGTTTTGTGGGGAAAAGAGAGGGCGCCTGGTCCATCGAGAAGCGTGCTCGGTCAATTACGCCAGCTGCCTCATGCTCTGACGATGACTCCGACCCATCATTTGAGCTTTCGTCGTCTTGCCTCTGCTCAACCTCCTGGCTGTCCCTCCTGATGGCAAGCAGATTCGACTTTGATCCATCGCCACCCTCTGCGTCGAAGAACTCGTCATTCGAGCCCTGCGAGTCAATGCTGTGGCGGGAGAGCGCTGCAGAGAGAGGCGCGGGTTTTCGCCTTTCTTTGCTCTGGTTGATCAGATGCGAGAATTCTTTCACAACAGAGTCCAGATCTTGCAGCAAAGCCATGCAGTGGTCGTGAATGCTCTCTTCCTGTGATGAAGAGCTGTTGTTCGCACGACTGTTGTGCTTGGGTACTGCAAGAGCGCCATTGATGTTCGCCGGTAGAGGAGGCACGGGAGGTATGGCGCCAGGTGAAGCTGCACCTACTTGTGCAGATACACTTCTCCTGAACATGCTAGAGGGACTTTGGCCCGAGCTGCTGGCTTTGCGCTTCCAGAACGCCTTACGCTCTGGTTCGCCCACAGTAGGAAAATAGTCGCTGGACTCCTCTGAGGGCGCAGGGGATAAGCTCTCGATCAGCTTGCTCGTCGATGCTCCTGATGAGATAGCCGAGGAAGTGCCATACTTGGGGTCTGTATCCTGGGCCAGTCTTCGGACGGCATCTCTGGAGCCAGCAACTCTGCCCACCAGTGCCTCGACTCTAGCCCATTCGTTATCTTCTACCGCGCTGTGTGTGGATGCGGAGGGCTGGAAAGGACTGTCCTTGATCTGCAGGGTGGGCGAGGCCGTAGCGACAGCTGATTGTGAAGCCCTATCGAGGGCGTCCCTCCACTTGACAAAGTCTGCCGCATTATTCGCTTTCAAATGCCAGATCTCGGCGCCAGAATCCACTGAGATCTCCTTTGTCTCCCCATTCGCACCAATGGCGGCGAGCGAAAGTGGAATGGCTCCGCGCAGGGCTGACGAGTGGTTGTTGCGGTAGTACGAGAGGGTCGAGGTGGTGAAGTCGAGCGAGAAGAAGCGCCTGGCATGTCCCTGGTTCTTCTTCCTCCTCTTCTTCAGCAGTACGCCTGTCATGAACGAGGAGCTGGATATGGTGGCTTGCCTCGGCTTCTCGTGCATAGAGCGCGGTCGCTCGGCGAGCTGTTGAGGCAGTGACTCGGAGGACTCGACGGGGCCCATGGAGGGGCTCGACCTCGCGAGGCTGGTGGAGCTAGCTCCTGCCTTTGCCTGGGCGTAGTGCATGTGGTGGCCTGACTTGGGCGGCGCATTCGTAGGGTACGTCATGAGAACGAAGGTTGCCGTCTTCGATACCGTCTTCGAAAAGGTGTTGTCGAAGACCAGGCCATACATGCCGCCCTCACCATGCGGCACGTCGTAAGTCCCCATAGACACCATGTCGGCCTCGCATTTCCCCTGCCAATGCACCTGCTTCAGCCCAATGGCCGACAGCTTCTCCAGCACAAATGTCCTGTCATTGCGCGATGTCGACGCGCCGCGCGCGCGTGTGTGGCCTACCGGCGCCTCTAGTCCGGGCGTAGACGGGCCGTTATCGAGCGTCGAGCCCAAGGGCAGATTCGGGGCGGCGCCGGTTGCATTGCCGGGGTGCTTGAAGATGCCAAAGTTGAGCGACTTCTTGTGTGGCTGGATGCTCCACGAGATGGTGTGGCCCGCAGAGACGTTGACCCAGCGGACAAGATACGACTAGCAGCTAGGTCAGCCTCGAACAGCAGTAACGCAGGACAGCTAGCTGGCTGAGCAATTGGAGACCTACCTTGCTGTGCACCTCGATGTTCTCCATGCCCGCCATGCTGTATGTTTACTGTGCGTAGTTCGTCTGCACCTTCGCGCTCAAGGCACCCTGCTTCTGCGCTATTCAGATATTCGCGCTGACGCTCGGTACCTGGAATGCCGCGGCACCGTATCGATACCAACAATGAACGCCTCAGGCGGAATCCAGGGCTACGACGTGAGGAATATTGCTCTTCAGCGGGCGAGTATGACAGGAGCGAGTGGTCCCAGATAATATACGGGCGCGGGCTCTCGGGTGCCGGCAGTGGGCTTCACAATAGCAGGCTGCTGGAAACCTGGATTGTCCGAGGTGGAAGGCGGTACGGCCGATGGACGAAGAACGGCGAAACTGTCTTGAACGCTGTCACAACTCACTGAACATGCTTTTCCAAGGGTCTGGGGTGCATTCAGGTTCTTGTGCTCGAGCGGGAGCCTGCAGACAGGTGTTCGATGTCCCTCACTGCTAAGCCCGACAGGCTTGGACATATCTTACCGCATGCATATACGCTGCGTATACGAAGGCTGGGACCATAACAACAGACCCTTGTAATTTCAGCCTTACGCCTCACGTACGTCAGCCACCTCCATTACTGCGCCCGATCTAGCTCTAGAGCACGCAAAACTTCACCGTCTTCAACGCCCAAGTTGCTGGCACTCGTGGCAGTCTTCCAGTCGTGCGTGCTGCCGAGGACGCGGCACTGCGGGTGCGGCTCTTCGTACCTTCCAACCCCTCGAGGGCCCACAACAGTGACAACATGCCCCAAGCAATTCCTTGCATGCCAGAGGTGATGACGTTCGAACATTCCAGACGATCGTGAAGCTCTCCAACCTCGATTTTGCGACTCCGAGTCTTCCGTTATCTTGCTAGGTAATCAACTTTGAGATTGGCTAGGAAATCTTCAGCGGCCGAGTGGGGACAGCATCACCCATGACGGTTTGCTGCACGTGATGTTCGGTAATGCTGGAAGCAAAACAAGTTCGCATGTCTGATGTCACGTGCACGCCATGTCTCTCGTGCGAGTGCAGAGCCGAAGACCAACGAAGTCCGAAGTCCAGAGTCCAGACGATGTCCCAGAAGACTGAGGCAGCAGCTTAGAGGCCCTGCTCACTTCTCCCGCCGCCGCAACATGACCCACTCTGATTGACTGCCACCGCCAGCAGCCTCAACAGGGGTCAACAATATCAAGATCATCGTGATCTTCCCTTGGTCCGACGTGCACTTCGCTTCTGGACCTAATTCAAGTAGACAACGAGATCATCTCCAAAGGTCGTGAACATCCCGACGATGCCGCCAAACGACGTGCTCATGCCACTTCAAACCATACCCCTTCAGAAGCGGAGGAGCAACGGGCTGCCGAACCGGTCTAGTTCAACGCTCTACTCCGGACTGCGCAATGCCGTACGAGAGCATTTTCCTCATGTCCAATATCTCCGCAGATGTTCTTTAGCCGTTTCCACGTGGTAGTTCAATTTGTGGGGTAATTTACAGTGATCACCCTTAATCAATCTACCTGGTTCGCGCCGGCATCGCCCCGGCTCTCCGTAATCCTGGATGATGGTCAGGTACTGTCATTAGCCTTAGCAGTATATAGGAATGTTCTCCCCTTCCAAGAATTCAACGAAGCTTGTCTGCAACTTGCAACGATTCCCAACATCATGGTTAAGTCAACGTCAATCGTGCTTTCGCTGGCGGCTTCTGCCGTTGCGGCTCCAACATGCACATGGTCGTCATGGAAGAATGTCAAAAACATGTTCATCTTGTAATTGGCCGCCGAACTCGCAATCGAACATACTGGTAGACTAACAGCTTCAGCGGCGACAGCTACACACAGACCGGCTTCGACGTGAACGGCACCCAGCCCAACGCCGCCAACCCCTTCGGCAACCCACCATTCCCGTAAGCACGTCGACTCTAGCGTCTCGTGAATATACTGATGTTGTTGATTAGGGGCTATACATCCGCTAATGGCCCAAACTGGATTGACTTTCTTGCTACCACATACAACGCCTCCTTCATAAAGGCGTACAACCTTGCCTACGGCGGCGCGACCGTCGATGCCGCCCTCGTGACCCCTTACGCGCCCACCGTACTATCCTTGAAAGACCAAGTGCAACTCGAATACCTCCCGCGTTACGGTGCCCATCCCAAAGACGCACCCTGGACCAGCAAGGATTCCCTGTTCGCCTTTTTCATCGGCATTAATGACGTCGGCAACAGCTGGTGGCTCAACAACGCCACGCTTTACGATGCAATCTTCAGCGAATACTCCGGATTGCTGGAGCAGGTATACAAGACAGGCGCACGCAACTTCCTCTTCCTCTCTGTGCCGCCTGTCAACCTTGCGCCCCTCACGCTGAGCAAGGACGACGGTGGATATTCGGTCGAGGCCGAGGGCAAGGTCATTCTGGACTGGAACACGCGCCTGACGGCTCTGACCACGGCGTTTAAGAAGAACCACACTGATTCCAATCTTTTTGTGCACGATACGCACAAGGTCTTCGACGACGTTATTAAGAACCCCAAGGCTTACCCGCCGACGAGCGGCTACAAGAACGTCACTGGGTACTGCGACGCGTATGCAAAGTAAGTACATAATGGCATCTGCGGAACGGTGCATGTGGAATTCAGGATTTGGGCTAATATGACGCAGCGGTACGCCGACGTGGTATACTAAGGACCCCAGCTGCGAGTATGCGGTCAACGAGTACTTGTGGCTCAACTCGCTGCATCCAACTTTCCCGATGCACAACGCCACGGCTGCCAGCATTGCAAAGTTCCTGGATACGCAGAAATGCTCGAAGTAAACGGAAGGCGAAAGGTTGAGTCTCAGGTACTCAACGGGCGAACGATGGAGAACGACCATGAGTCTCCGTTTGTAGCGTCACGTACCGTTGATACAGCTATAGAGATCTAGAGGTATATACCAAGTCACATACCAAGATACACTCCTTACAGTATTCGTCTTCCCACGAAACCAAAAACACCGAGCAGCCGTGTTCATGTGTGCCTTCCGCCACCGTGCCCAGAACACGCGCAGCCGTAGCCCACAGCCCCCTCCTCTTCCCAAAGCAACATCAAGTCAAGAGTATGGAAATAATAAACACCCCTGCCCATCGCAATGCCTAAACCAGTTTTATTAGAGCTGCTGTGTGCGTCTCCAGTCCAACTCGTGTTCTAAAAGCATCACTGAAGACCAGCTATGTGTCTCTCGCCTCCTCTCAACAAATCTAGCGATGCTTCTAATGTGTGATGAACCCCTGCTTCTGAATATTCGAAGTGCGCTTTTGCCGGTATCATGGCTGCGCTCTTCTAGTTCGACGACGTCAGTAATTCACCGAAGTGAGTGGTTGATTTCTTGCCCTCTAGGTCCGTTTTCACAAACCGCATGAGCCTTGACTTCTCCTTGAAAACACGAAGCCAACGAGCACATTTCTGCTCTGATGCTTCGGGCGTTGGCCCCATGCCGTCGAAATGTTGAAGAATGTAGGAGGATAGAAGTATAGGCCTGTGGGAATGTATGAGTTTGTTTGAACCATTGTTTAATATTATGAGACATACCTGCGAAGTCCGCACCGACAAATTCGCACAAGGGAGGACAGACGGCAGGATTGACAAATTTTGCGGCAGCCGCAGCTGCACAGAATGTAATTCGCGATATCGTAGACGACCTTCCAGTATTTAGTCGCCCAATGATGACTATTTGGGGTGCTGGAGACAATGGAGGATCCGAACATAAGGATAACTGGACCCCTTAGACGGCTTGGGTCGATTCAAGAGGGCTGGAGATATTTGAGCATGAGCAGGCCCCCATGTCATAGTCTTCTGACTCTACAAACCTTCGTTTACCACGCGTGTATCTGCGCAGAACTCATCATAGCAATCCTTTATCTATACACATCTAACCTGATCCCTTGACCTGAACCTTGATCTCCATCCCATCCACCGGCTTTGCAGTCACCTGATGCGTGCTAAACATGATTCCCTTCGTCTTCGCCCTACCCTTTTTATCAACCTGCACCTTGCCCTTCTCATCCAGATCTAGCTCACCCAGTCCTTGCTTAACAAAGTCAAAGTGCCGCGCCGCACAAGCAATGATGATTTTGGTCTCGAGGTTTGCGAGTTCAGACCCAGTGCATCGACGTGGCCCGCGCTCGTACGGTCTGAAAGCGCTTTCAGGGATCTTCTTTCCCTCTTCACCGATCCAGCGCTCGGGTTTGAAGTCGTTTCTTGTGTCACCGAAGGTCTTGGGATGGCGTTGGATGGTGTATGCGCGTGGTGTCACGCAAATGCCGTCGATACACAGCGTATCGCCATCGGGCAGGGTGAGTGTAGTGTTCGATGCAGCAGGTGCTACGCGCGCGGTCGTGCCCGGTGGATGCAAGCGTAGTGTTTCCTTGATCAAGGCGTCTGTGTAGTGTAGTTTGTTGAGAAGAATTCCAGCATCCGCTCCTCGCAGTGCATTGGCAACAGTAGAGTGGTGGGTGTCAGAACCAAAGACAGAATCGAGTTCTTCACTCAAGGTCTGTGCGGCAGACGGATGTATGTGCAACTCGTAGAAAGCCCACTGCAGGAGAATCGAGGTTGTGTCGTGCCCAGCGAAGAGAAAGCCGCGTAGTGTATCGCTCGTCTGCTGGAGGACCTGAGGTGTCAACTTATCGATACCGTGAAGACTGAGGGTTGCTACGCTTTTGTTCTTGGTCTTGGTATCAGTGCTACCGGAAAGCAAGGATTTGTGCTGCCTCTTGATCTCAGCCTTGAGAATGCTGTCAAGTCTCTTGTCCTTCGACCGAATCTCACGCTCGTTTGCAGAGAAGTAGTCGCGCCATCCTACACCGCCGAATGGGCGTTTGTTGAAGGCCTGCGAGAGTGCCCGGTAAGTCAAGAGAACCTCGGATTGCTTTCCGTCGATCTGCGCGTTGAGATCCATGTCAAACGTTACAATGCCAATGATGTCAAAGACAAGATTCGTAGTGTACGACTCAAGACGGAAGGTCTCGCCAGCTGCAGCTTCTTGTTCCATGAGTTCAACGAACGTCTCAGTCTTGTCAACAATGACGTTGACCAAGCCAAGCAGATGATTTGGTTGAAAGCCAGGTCGAATTCGCTTGTATAGAGCATTCCACTCGTCTCCCTACACACAGCCATCAACTTGTACACTTCTAAAGTTACCGAACAGTGAGCTTACATCTGTTGTGACCAGAGATCTCGCGCCAACCAGGGGGGCCAACTGCTGGATAGCCGGGTGCTTGGGCATGCTGGTCCTGAACGACTTGTTTGGCTTGGTAACCTGTTCCGCAACTTCATTGTCCAAGACGAACAAGATCGGGAACTTCTCGATCGGACGCCAGTCCACGAGCAGGACCGGAGGGAAACCTAGCTTCTCGGCTTGCTCGTATAGCATCTCGTCAAACTGGCGTCGAGGGTCGCCCTCCCCAGCAGCTTTCTCGATCCATGGCCAATGACCTCGTACAGGGTCCGCTGGCTCAGGCTGAGGGAAGTGTGAGTACTGCTTCAGCTCCAGCGGTTTGGCTTGGGATCTTCGAAGGTAGTAGGCTAAGGCGAGGGGGATCGCAGCGAAAACCAGTAGTTCCCATCTGAGCAGCGTACCCAGCGTTTCCAGATTTTGCGACGAAAGAAAGTCCAACAGCGCCATCTTTAGTGTGAGGTGAGCGTTGTGTCAGCTCGAGACTGTTGCTAGATACTTGCAGTACTTCCCCTCTTGAAGTGTATGACAAGCATTGAGGATAAGCCGCCAATGTTGAGAAGGGTTACATCGTGTCATCAGTGCTTTTGGCCTATTGCGTATGCCGTGACGACGGAGAAGAGGTCTCGGAGAGGTGTCGGACATGATCAATGTGGGAGGTGATCATCGGATTAGATCCCATCAGATTAGATTAGACCAGGATGATTCGCTGATGTTTCGTGCTCCCTGCACGTCAAGCAAAACTCTGCAGCTTGGCATCGCGGGCTGTAAGCCGTGCTTAGCTAGCATTGGCAGGATGTCGATGCTTCGCAAATGATTGTGGCATGATGTGGAGCTGCAGAGAGCGAACGTTGATGGAGATGCTCTGGCGCCGGGTCGCGCCACAATCCCAGACCCTGCAACGCCGAGTTACCTCCGCCTTCATAAGCACCCTCAGAACTGACTAAGTTTCACACGTTCACACGTGGAAGACTGGTCATCGAATATCGCGTAGAAGTTGTAATATTTGTGACAGTATAAGGCGTCGGCATACAGTGGCCATGACGGATAGGCTTTTGAACACACGCTATTCAGACAGATCGATGTTCGACGCGGAGGCCAATTGTCAAAGGGTGCAAGGCTACACGGCATTGTTCGCTTGAAATTGCTATTCAATTGCGTCATCTATCCTACAGTCGTCTAGTCATTTACTGGAATCTCTTCTCAGCCGCCTTCCAGTTGATGACGTTCCAAATAGCCTTAAAGTACTCCGCCTTGCGGTTCTGGTAGTCAAGGTAGTAGGCGTGCTCCCACGCATCAACACCAAGGATTGGCTTGAACTGTCCTACAACGGGGTCCTGGTTCGCGTATGTCTTGATTTGAATGGCACCAGTCTGTGTGTCCTGAACCAACCACGCCCATCCGGATCCCTGAATGCCAGCCAATGCGGTGTTGAACTTCTCCTTGAATTGGTCGAGACCACCGTAGGAGTCGTTGATGGCCGCAGCAAGAGCGCCGGATGGAGGCTCACCACCACCCTGCGAGGTAGGTGCCAGGTTCTCCCAGAAAAGAGAGTGGTTGACGTGACCTCCACCGTGGAAGTTGATCATGGGCTGCAGAGCAATCTGAGCCTTGATATCGTTCTTGGCCTTGGCCTCGGCGATCTGCTCGCTGAAGTTGTTGTATGAAGTCACGTAGGTGTTGTGGTGGTTCTTGTGGTGGAGCTCCATGATCTTGCCGGAGATGTTGGGTTCGAGGGCGCCGTAGTCGTCTATGTGTGATGGTCAGCTGCAGTAATCGGACTAGAGCTGCCTGCCAAACATACAGGCAAGGTCGGGCAGAGTAGCCTTTCCACGCACAAAGGTGGTTGCGACGCCGGCGCGAGCAGAGCTCTTAGTGGCAGCGCGGAGCACAGAGCGTGCTACAGTGGTACGGAGAATGGTCGAGTTCATGGTGGCTGGAATTGATGTGTGGATGATCAATTGGGTGTGGTGAGGACTGTTGGGTGAGAGGTTTGACTGTCGGGGTCGACTATTCAGTTAATCACGGCTCTTTCGTCATCCCGAACGTCAGAGCTCTTCGGCAGGAGCAATCCGCCAGCCAATGACAGGGCGAGCAAGTCAGCTTCCCCAAAACAACCATGGCGATGATGCTGTACGATGTATTAATCAAATGGGTGCTTCAACGGAAGACATGAAGAGACGCGTCTGACAGCCTCCAGCCTAGCTTGGAGTGTCAGGAGAGCTATCGTGATGGACGAGACTGGGCGCCCCGCGAGTTCACCCGCCGCGGCCGTTCTCGGACGCTCTCTATCTGGGCAGCAGATTCTGACAGCTCGCGTGGTGAGATATGTTGACGTGTTCGTATCCGAGTACCTGCAGATCGAATACTCACGCGATGGGCTGGTGGCTGCGGTGTTGAAGTCGTCTTTGTTCTGATTGCTGTCGCCATCTCTTCTTCAACTACGAGCGCAAGCTACCCCACCAACGTCAATGGCTCCAGCGAACGTTGTTCACCTGCCCAATGGCCAGAACCTGGCTGTGTCGCCAGTATTTGGCGGACTTTTCTTCAAGGCCAATGACATGCTCAATTCCCACTCGCCATTTCCTCCTGGCTGGACTGTCGTACTGAACTCAGAGGATGATATCGACCCCGCAGAGGCAGAGCAAGATGAGAAAACCGAGCAGACCGGACTCCCTCGACACGTACACCGGTACAAGCGACCCACGCTGACCGGCGACCACCTCTACATCTCCTCCGTGTCAAACCCTAGCAGCAATGAGTTCAGGGCTGCAGCGTCGCCGACGCGCCATATCGCCATGATGCTCTGGGCGACCCTGTACTGGTACTTCCACCAGCGAGAACCAACACTGCAAGTCACGAACGCATTGTCAAAGAATACGGCAGACTCCGGTAAGCCAAAGGGCGAGTGGAGGATCAGCATCAATCGCGAGGGCATCTTCAAGGGCAAGGTCGTTTTGCCCAAGCTCGAGCGCATGGGACTGATCGCCAGTGAGGACTCAACAGTGGGCTGCGCTCAAGAGGAGTGTGCGCATGAAGGCTGGACGCAAATGTTCGTCAGTCGCAGGAGCTTCTGGCAGCTTGATCCGCGCATTTACCTGTTCACTCTCTCGCCCATGGCTAACTCGCCGTTCCCATCGGGCTCGCCATACCCCTCACGGCCCTCGTCGCCGGTGGGTAAAGGCGAAGACAAGAAGGAACATCAGCTCGATCAGACGTCACCAGGCCTGTGGTCACCCACCGCACCTGGACCGTTTCACTCCAGCTCGCACCTGCCGACCTATTATCCGCCGCCGCCGACCCAGTATGTCATCTCGAACCACGTTCGACACCCTATACGCCCGAAGCCTCCACGACAAGGCGAGGTTCTATACACGCGCTACATCCCCAGCGTCGGGCAATACCTCTCCTTCCGCGTTGCGTCCATCTCGTCGAAGCCGCTGCGACATCGCGGCCCCATCTCCTCTGCCGAAAACGCTTCGCACCGTCTCAGCGGGCAGTTGCCAGCCGAATCGATCGTGTCAACAATGGAGTCGCTAAAGGTTGATATGTGCGACTCTGAATACCTGCACAAGTGGATGAACGACCCTCGAGTGTCGCACTTTTGGGGCGAGGCAGGGCCACGGGAACACCAGGCGGAGTTCCTGCGGAACGGCCTGAAGTCCAAGAACTCCTTCCCTGTCATAGGCTGCTGGGACGGCAAGCCGTTTGGCTACTTTGAAATCTACTGGGTCAAGGAGGATAATCTGGGCAAATACGTACCTAATGTGGGCGACTACGATCGAGGCTTTCACTGTTTGATCGGCGAGCAAGAGTTCAGAGGCGCGCACAGAGTCAGACTCTGGATCAGCGCACTCGTTCACTACTGCTGGTTGGCGGATAACCGCACAGAAAGAGTGATGCTCGAGCCGCGAGTGGATAACGAGAAGTAAGTCGAGTAACGCACCTTCAAAGTCTCGTACTAACAGCAGAAGACTGGCGAAGTACCTCCAAGAATCTGGTTTCTACAAGGAGCGCGAAGTCAGCCTCCCACACAAGCAGAGCAATTTGTTCAAAATCAACAGGGATGTCTGGAAAGGTCCGTCGCTGTAAGCACGCCCTTGGGGCTCCGCGCTGGAGTCTCGGAGGCGAGATGTGGAGATAGCACGGTTGAACGCGGCCGCGATGTTGGGCGTTCAGGCAGTCTTTGCGGAGGAAAAGCGGGTATCGAGATACTACAAGTTCTGGCCTTCTCGACTATGCCACATAGTCGTAAGCTGCAATTGCTCTCTTTGGCAGTGAATTAGTTGTTGGGTTTACGCGCATTGTCAGAACGCGCCAGGCATCCCACGGAACCTTACCGAAGTTCGGCGTAATTTGGTTAGTCGGTGCACTTCGTGGGATATGGCAGGTTATGCAGCCCGCACAGTTGCGACGAGACGAGTTCTCGAATCGCAAATAATAACGATCATGCGTACGGAAGAATAGCGACCGACCGTTCAGTGGCCGAACTTGAACCACATCGTGTGTTGAGCTTCAAGGTTCAATATACAGTCGTAGTGGCATCACCCCGCCATGGTCACAAGCCAACAAGTAGTCACCGCGGAGAAATTTCTGCGGCCTAATGTTCAGCCTCAATGATCGGCAAGCAGGTGTCAACCGAAATCAGTCGTCGAAACGCTCTTGGGCGCGCCGATTTGTGGCGCAAACAAAAATGTGGGGTCTTGGCCACAAATTTATCGGAGTCCTGTGACGCAAGATGTTGGTTCGGGTAGAAAAGGAACTGGACGACCCAGTCAACCATAATCCCAAGCTCGTGATACCCATTCCCTTTACATCGCCTTGACTTAATTGTAACAAGAGGCAGGCAGTGATTGAAGACCAGACGACTGATTACTGCCACCGCTGAGTGATCACTAACAATGTCTGTCCCCTCGATCCCCTCCACAGAGCCTAAGCTCGCATACGACCAAGACGCAGCCCTGGACCTCCAGCGCCAAATCGACAGCATGAAGCAGCAAATCGGCAACTCGATCTTCGACACCTACCAGACATCTCTGACAGGGCGGTACTGCTCCAAGGAGATGTCGCAACTTTTCAGCCAGCGCAGCCGTCACAGCACGTGGAGAAAGCTCTGGCTGTGGCTCGCTGAGTCAGAGAAGGAGCTTGGAATCGAGAACATCTCGGATGAGGCTCTGCAGCAGATGCGCGACCACCTGATCGTTTCTGACAGCGACTTCGAGGTTGCGAGAGTTGAGGAGAAGAGGAGGAGACACGATGTCATGGCTCACGTACACGCGTTCGGCGAGGTCGCGCCGAAGGCAGCGGGTATCATTCACTACGGCGTAAGAGAATTGGGTCAAATCTCGAAGGAGCCCAGCTAACATATTACTTAGGCAACAAGCTGCTATGTGACTGATAACGCTGAGCTTGTGCTGATGCGTGATGCCATGAGCCTGCTCCTTCCTAAGCTCGCCAAGGTCATTGACAACCTCTCCAAGTTCGCCCTGCAGTGGAAGTCTGAGCCTACTCTGGCCTACACCCACTTGCAGCCCGCTCAACTGATTACCGTCGGTAAGCGAGCGGCCCAGTGGGCGCAGGACCTCCTCATGGATCTTGAGGCCATCGAGCACGTCAAGGAGGGTCTCCAATTCCGCGGTGCTCAGGGCACAACCGGAACCCAGGCATCTTTCCTCGAGATCTTCAACAACGACTCGCAGAAGTGCGACCAGCTGAACGAGAAGCTCTGCGAGAAGGCCGGCTTCAAGAGCTGCTACTCTGTCTCAACACAGACCTACACTCGCAAGGTCGACCAGCTGATCGCCAACGCCATCGCCGGACTCGGTTCCTCCGCCCAGAAGATTACCGGTGATATCCGTCACCTGGCTGCATGGAAGGAGCTCGAGGAGCCCTTCGAGAAGGACCAAATTGGCTCCTCCGCCATGGCCTACAAGCGCAACCCCATGCGCTCCGAGCGCGTCTATGCCTTGTCCCGCGAGCTGATGTCCAAGCCCGCATCCTTCGCCAACACCCTTGCGGACCAGTGGATGGAGCGCACGCTCGATGACAGCGCCATCCGCCGCATCGACATTCCCGAAATGTTCCTGTTGGCCGACGCCATCCTTCTCTCCCTCGACAACGTCACATCCGGACTTGTCGTATACCCCAAGCGCGTCAACGCGCGCGTCCAGGAAGAGCTGCCCTTCATGATCACCGAGAGCATCATCATGAAGCTCGTCGCCAAGGGTGAGTCAAGGCAGGAGGCGCACGAGCAGATTCGTGTTCTGTCGCACCAGGCGGGTTACAACGTCAAGAACGAGGGTGGCCAGAATGATCTTGTCGAAAGGATCCGTCAGACGGAGTTCTTCAAGCCGATCTGGGGTGATTTGGATAACATGCTGGATGCGAGTTTGTACACTGGTCGTAGCTCTGAGATCGTGGATAAGTTCTGTGGACAGGGCGGTGTGCTGGAGAAGGCGCTGCAGTCATACAGGGAGTACGTTGATAAGGCTGGTGTTGCGGAGCTCAGCGTATAGCTGCCTTGGGCGAGCAAAATGATTGAATGATCGCATGTGTCTATGGTACCTGTTGACGTCTATAGTATGGGATTCCAGATAGATACAAAAGCAACGGCTGTTCTCATTAACTGCATCCGATGCACCACTGATCAGCCTCTCGCGCTAAGTATGTTGCTATATCTACTGCATGAGAGTCTCACGAACCCTGGTGGCCGTTAGGCCATCCTCGGACCCTTCGAACTGCGTCTGCTATCAGTCCCTCAGTATACTTTCCGGATGTTACTAGTCCCTGGCATACCCCAATAATTTTTCGGCTGCTTTGACTGTTGCCTGCGACTGTAAGAGACCCTGGATTTCCTTAGACCCTTCACCAGACCCTTCACCAGACCTCCCACGCCATGTCTTCAGTGACTGGTTCAGCAAATTTGGTTCAACGACTTCGACTGCAGTTCAATCTCATGAGTTTTTCCAACCAAACATATACGAAGAGTGGGCTGCGCCATGGAGTTTTCTACAACTCGTATCCAGGAAAAAAGATATCCAAAGCATATTGGCTTCCACAATCAGCTTCAACTTCCAATCGCACATTATGGAACCTGTCAGAAAGAGCAGTCGAGTCCGCATTCCCACTGGGTCAAAGATCGAGAAGTCAAAACCTCTGCCCACACAGCTTTATTTTGAAGAGCAAGAAAAATGGCAAAGTCCCCTTCCACCATGCCTACAGGTGGCCGTGCATGGTCAACTCCCCAAAAACAATAAGACCCAGCCGCACCAGACTAGACGAGGAGCCTATTCTTCGGGCGGAAAATGCGGAGAAAGGTGGGCCAGCACAGCCCTCCAAAGCACCGCGACGGCATCCAGGCCGTCAGCACCCGTGCAAGCTGGAAGACAGGACAGTGCAGAGACACTCCCAGGGAACGACAGCGACGTCACCCTCTCAGCGGACCATACGCCGACTACCTCCAGAACAGCGTCAGAGGAGCCCCCCGACAGCGCGCTGGCCCCAGAAGAAAAGGACGCAGTGCTATCGTTGTGCATGCTGCACTACGCAGCTGTCCACCCCATAACGTTGGGTGAGCTGTATACTCCCTTTGTCGAGCGCCGTCAGGGACGGCTGGATGCATTCGGACTTCATGGCTACCGGGCGAAGGAGCGGAGGGTGTGGGTTGATAGCCAGGGTAAGGTTCATACACTGGAGTGGGAGGCGTGGGTGGAGGAGAGTCAGCTCAGGGAGAGTTCGAGGAACGAGGTTGTGTATAGAGAGGGTCTTGAGAGGAGAAGGAAGAGGATGAAGACTATGGGGGCGATGTTGAAGGCGTTTAAGGCTGGGTAGTAGGAGAGGACTGGAGGTATTCAGTGAATGGAAGGAGCGATGGGGGGTGTGGAGACTTCGACAGTGACGCTGCAAATTGGCGGGCTTGGTGTACAAGTTATGTTGAGTTGTTTTTCTGATACACGTAAATAGCTGGCATGTTGTGGCTGCTCTGAATTGGGAGCGAGGAGGTGCTGACCCTCATTTTTACTTTCAATTTCTAGATTCAATAACAACTCAGGGTTAGTTTAAGAATGACTTCAGAATTCAGTCAGCGCTCATACAGTGAGATGGTTTGGCCACATCATGACTACCTCAAGCGTCTCATAGTCACGATGTGACCGAACCGAATTAATAGCACTGGAGACCTTCGTATCTCCAGCCTGAGGTATTCAGTGATTGAAAACAACAATCGTACGCTGGTACAGGCCGCCGATCAGACAATGCAATGCCATTGATTATCTCGAATTATTCATTCCTCCATATCAGATGTACACAGCTCTAAAGACTGGTCTGGGAGTCTTCAGATCAGTATCGTCATCAAGCCCCACAGCCAACGGAACGCCTGTTCACGCAGGGCAGACTGGGCAGCAGCCGGAACGCAGCAGCCACCCACGCCGAATTCGTCGGCACAGCATACTTCAAGCTGCCCAAAGCTTCCACAGCAACTGCTTCTCGCTCACTGGGACTCTGCATCTCGACTTCTCCACGAGAAGTCTCTATCTCGATCCCTGACGGCGGGTTAGTGACACTCTCTTTCGAAGCTGTGGAGGCATTCAACGTACTCTTCACTCTCTGATGAGATGGTCCCCTCATATTGAAGAGTGCGTGCGCAGCATCATACACCCCGAGGTCCTGACTACTCCTGAAGGTCTCTGGACCATTTTGCCCTGAGCGAGGCTCGGGCGAAAGTGTAGCTTCACTGTCGTGAAGTGACATGGTGCGCTCACTGCTCCTTGGTGATGAGCTTGGTGGTGTTTTAGTTTGGACTGGCCGCTCCGCTTCGGCGATGTACTCGATACTGAGCTTGCTGGGGCCGTGCGGGTTGGATATCTTGTTAACTTTGGGCTTGGTGACCTCCGGTTTGGTGACCTTCGATGTTCTTGCGGGTGGTTGATTTGGGCTACAGGCTTTCCAGCCACGGGTGCTTCGCTGTTGTGGTTTCATGGTGGATGATAGAACGTGGAGGGAGTCGATGTTGTTTTCCTGTATGTGTGCTTGGCTGAAGTTGGATGGTAGTGTCGTGGATGCACAGTGCAGGCCAAATCTTGGGGATTCAAATACAGCTTGTTATTCTCTTAGGCTCGGGTGAACCGTAATTCAAAACCTTTGAACTGTACTGGTTGCTGGCTAGTGAAAAAGAGTCTCTTGTGTAACCGCCTTATGATGCCAACCCAAAATTCAGTGAAGGCCCGCATCACTCCCCACCATATAGATACTGCGTACGTACTTCCCACGGTGTGAAATACACGAATATCTGATCTAGCCATGGTGTCTATTCTTTGCGCTGTGAAGCTGTTGGTTGGAGGAAGTCGACTATGATTCAAGTCCGACCAGGGTCCTCGTCTACCTTGGTTCGTAAATTCAGGGTCATACAACGTCGACGAGCTCGGTTTTTACCTTGAAAGCTGATATTTTTAAGACCTTTGTCTGCTTGTTGTATGTACTTGTGAGTCTACTGAACAGCAGAACTTCGCACGTAACAACAATGGCCCTTGAACACCATCGAAACACCACTATCTCGGTCACTTACGGTATGTGCAAGTAAGACACTCTCGTCAGATATGATCAAAAAGAGCAAACATAAGTAAACTCGGCGGTCGATCAGCCTTGGACTTCAGCAAATCGCAGATCTCGCTGATTTATGCAATGTGCTTGAATAACATTATCTGTGAAGTAGAGAACCGAAATCCCGCCGTCAAGGTCGGATTCAAAAGGGAGGGAACTCGTGAAGGTGAAGAAAAGCATAAAAAGGATCAAGAGGAGGAAGGGGGCGGCGCCGATGGCCGAGGAAATTCTGAGAAAGACGGGGCAAGTGAGGATTGATGTTGAGATGGTCAACGTCTTCCATCGAAAGGTGATGGCAATGAGTGTCCTGGTGTGCTGATGAGGGAATTCGAAGCCAGACCATGGTTCCTTGGTCAGCGATGCGGTGATGGCAGGCACGTGCTGGCGCATGTCAACGACAGAAGCAACTCGGCAAGCCCATCATTCTCTCCTGGCCGCATTAGTTCCGCCATGATTGTCGGTGAAATCCTTGTGCTCCGCCGTGAATGTCCTCCGCCGCCTGTGTCAGCCCGATGTGTTGAGCGGAAGAATCGCCGGCTAAAGAGACCCGCAACCACCTTCAATAGTTCACCCTCAACCGAGCACTCGACTGATCTCATTTCAGCAGCAACGCGACCGCTCCAAGCCCCACAAACTAAGCCGGCGGTTAAACAGGGTAGCTGTGCCGTCATGCGGGCAGTACCTACCCCTCCACATAAGTATGCGCGATGCCTACGCGTGAAAAGATAGACGCGACGGCTCAACTACCAAATACACACATTTAATACCTCTATCACCGCGACCATGGCTGACAAAGAACCCATTGTGACCCACGTCTACACTGCTGATCCGTCGGCGCACGTCTTCAATGGCAAGCTCTACATCTACCCCTCTCACGACCGCGAGACAGACATCAAAGACAACGACAATGGCGACCAATACGACATGGCCGATTACCACGTCTTCAGCATGGACACTGTCGGCGGCCCCGTCACAGACCACGGTGTAGTTCTCAAGCAAGAAGACGTTCCATGGGTCTCCAAGCAGCTCTGGGCACCTGATGCAGCAACCAAGAACGGGAAATACTACCTCTATTTCCCTGCACGCGACAAGGAGGGCATCTTCCGCGTCGGCGTCGCAGTCGGCGACAAGCCCGAGGGCCCTTTCACGCCAGAGCCCGACTACATCAAGGGTAGCTTCAGCATTGACCCCGCGACATTCGTTGACGATGATGGCTCAGCATACCTCTTCTTTGGCGGAATCTGGGGCGGCCAGCTGCAGAACTGGGCGACGGGCAAATTTGACAAGTCGGGCGAGGAGCCCACAAGCGGCGACGCGCTGAGCGCAAAGGTCGGCAAGCTCACAGATGACATGACGCAATTCGCATCCGAAGTCACCGACGTCCTGATCCTCGATCCCGAAACGCAGAAGCCTATTCAAGCTACGGACCACGACAGGCGGTTCTTCGAAGCTGCTTGGCTGCACAAGTACAACGGCAAGTACTATTTCAGCTACAGCACGGGCGACTCACACTTCCTATGCTATGCGGTTGGAGATAGCCCTGTTGGGCCCTTCACGTACGGCGGCAGGATTCTGGAGCCCGTGGTTGGGTGGACGACGCATCACAGTATCGCAGAGTTCAAGGGGAAGTGGTACCTGTTCTACCATGACAGTACGCTCAGTGGTGGAAGGAATCATCTGAGGTGTGTCAAGATCAGGGAGATCGTGTATGATAAGCATGGCAAGATTGGGTTGGCGGACCCGCAGCCGAAGTTATCGGAGGACGACGCGCCGCCTGCGAAGCTCGAGGGGTGAGTTTAATATATACAGATAAAATGAAAACTCTGCGCGTGCATCACGGTTGTTATCAACAGTTGCGTCACTGCAGGTATTTTGTATGCTTCACAATGATTCAGATCAGCCCATATCATCCAAGTCAACCAGCAAATATCTTCCCACACCTAAAACCCAGCAATATACCGATGCTGATCCGTAACCTCCGTAACCTCCAGCACATCTCCAACCCTAACCACCCCCGTCTCGCGCGGCACACACAACATCCCATAACAAGGCTTGTACGTAATCCCCTCGTCAATCCTGCGATACTTCATCAGCGTATCCCACGGCTGCTGCTTATGCTCCTCCGCCGTCTCGGGATCCACATTTGGCACATGGCACCGCGCACAGCGCTGCGTGACATCTAGAGTCGTCACCGTCTTGCCCGCGCTCGTGATGCGCAGCGTTTTCCACCGGTCTTCGTCCCACGGTGTCGAGGCCTGGCCACGCACCAGGATGTTCGGCCGGAAGCGCGAGACGTCGAGCGGTGCGAGAGAGCCGTTCTCGGCGGTGCGGATGCGCGTGTTGAGTTCGTCGATGCTGGACCGGTTGCCCACGAGCAGCGGCATCAGGTCAGGGAAACATGTTGATGCTTCCCGGCCCAGTACATCTGGAGCGCCATTTGAACGCAGTTCGCGCGGCTGCGAAGACTGAGGAGGCTTGTACACGAGACGCACTTCCTTGCCGAAGAAGGCGTTGAAGGATTCAGTTAGAGTGGGCGAGTAAACGCACGTGGATGTCCATTGGTTCCAGATCTTGGCATCGTGAGAGGCGGTGTTGGAGTCCAGCCACTCAGCGGTCGGGTGCGCGGGAATGCTGAATTCGAGTTTCTCATCGACGGAGTTTGGCGCGGGCGCTGTGACGGTGAGGGTGTCTGTTGCTGCGTCGTAGGAGGGGCGGATCAGGGTCATTTTAGCATTTTGTCGGATCGTGAGAAACTCGTAGTCTTCTGATGTGACCCACATCCATTGACGATCTGGTGCAGGATTAGATAATTGGACTGCCAGTTGGGCGCTTGTTTCGACGTACCAAGATCAAGCCCTGTAGGGAGCACCTTCGCTGACTGCACTTTGATGCCATGACATGACTTGATTGGATGGATGTACAGAGCGGTGATTTCTGTCGGCGGAGGAAGCGGTCCGGCATTGTTCTTCTTTGGTAGCACTTTCGTGAAGTATCCAGTGAAGTATAGGTAGGTCAATACTGGTAAAAAGAAGGCGGAAAGGACGATAGCCAATTGCGTGGCTTGCGACTGCGCCATATTGTCGGTGGTCCCCGGAAGGGAGCCTGAACGTGTTGTGCGGGTGGTAACGTGGTATCCTTGATTCACGTTTTTAGAGTCTAGAGGAATGCAAACAGTTGCAGGCGCGGCAATGTGACGAGGACGAGGTCCAGAGCCTCAATCGATATTGCAGAGTAGTATTCGTATTCTCAGGTATGTGCTGCCTTGCTGACAGAAAGTTTGTGTAAGTCCAGACCACGAATGTCAATGGCACGCCCTTCCGGCTAACGTTACAAGAGGAATTTGTGAGTTTATGTTTGGGGGCGATCTCTGGAAAGATGACGCATGGCCCGGGCGCGGGGAGGCAGAGCGCGATGTTGCGCGCTGAAGGCGGCATCAGCTCCGCGGAAGCGGTGGGGACTTGCATCAGATTGGTAAGACGCTTGCTCTCAACGCAAGTGTGAGAGATATTGAATATGTCGATGAGCCAATGATGTTACATTATTTGGGAAACATTCGGGGTACTGTTCACCATCTATAGGCTTCGCATTCGAACTCCAAACCATCCTTCCTCATTGTGTCAATTACTCCAGACGCTACGTGAAATGAGATGTTGTGTACAGTCCTAGGGAATATGACGCGCAGACACTGCGGTAACATGAAGGAAAAACTCTTTTGAGCAGACCTAAACATGATGATATGGAAACCGTAATCAACGCTACATTATGGGTATACCTTGCTTCCAAACTCAGGGACGATAGGAAATTTCAACAAGTACAGCTCCGTTGTGGTGACGTGTGGCTCGCTCAGCTCGGCACGGCACGGTGGTGAGCGTGCCGGCGCTGGCGCGAGGTTCGGAATCACTTTCTCAGTGAGGTGTGGGTGTGATGTGTGGGAAACGCATTGTGGGAACCATGAGCTCAGCCCCAGTTCATCTCGTTGTTCCAGCTCATGGTGTCCCTGTTTCCACTGTGTTGTGATATATTGCTCGGCTTCCTTCGCATAATCATTCTCGAGAAACGATTCCCTTGTAACTCATCTTTGGGAGGAGGCGCAGGCGGCTGCTGCTGCTGTTGTTGCTGTTGCTGCGGGTGCATGGCTCGGTGGCTCGAATTTGATATGTTGACCAGCTTGGGAACGTATTTTCGAGAAGAGGGCTGGCTTTCGGAATGTTGCATGAAATTGGGAGGCACGCTCTGCCGTTGTTGGGGTTGTTGCTGTTGTTGCGGGTAGTGCGCGAAATTGGCATACTGTGAGGTTGGGACAGACACGACTTCCTTCGGCTGCGTATAGGTCATGTACGATGTCGGCTGTTGGAAGTTGATGAGATCAGTGGTCGCGACGAAATCAGTGTTGGGCCACGTTTGTTGCTGGTGAAAGCTTTGTTGCGGTATCGGTTGCGTGAAGGACGCTGACATGGTCGCCATGCTTGGGTTGTAACCTCCATAGGCTCCCATGTTGGTGTCTGTGGTCAGGTGAGCTTGCGACATGTCGGCACTGACGGGCCACTGGCTCTGCTGGAAGGACTGCTGATGATGCAAGACCTGCTGAGGTTCTACAGGATCTAGATCCATCATGTGCTGATCCTGTGGGACGCCACGCGAGCTCGGTAGCCTTGCATCGTTTCCAAAGTCTGACGTCTCGAGCTTGAACTCGACAATCTCGCTATGTGCAGAGTTGTCGGCTTCAGACACGTCAGGCGTCATCTCGGGGGCGGAGTCGACAGCATCTTTTGGTTCGATCTCGGCAAGGTCGTAGGTATCTTGTACCAGCTTCTCCATGTCGAAGGCACTGGTGTGCCATTTCGTCTCCAATTTGTATCGCAGACGGTTGCACTTCTTCGATTCCCATGACAGCTTGGGCCAGTTTTGCTCGTCCCCGTGGCGTTGTGTCAGGAGGTTGTTCCACGCGTTTGCAGCATCAGATTGCTTCAGCAGTCCAAGGATGACGTTGGTGAAGTTCCACTTTGCTCCCCCCTTCTCTTCGAAATGTAATGCTATGTGTTCGCATCTCTCTTCCCATGTAGTTAATAGGGTTGCACAGAAGCCGCAGCCCCAAGCATCCTTGTCGTGCATGACAATCTCATACTTCTTGACGCAGGGCGAAGCCTTCCTGCTAGTGGGCTGACCGCTCTCCCTTGGTTGTTTGCAGTGCTCACAGCCCTAATTACGGTCAGTATGACAACGCTGGGTGCAGCAGGACATTACGTACGTGAAGTTTTGTGTGGTGCTCGCGGAAGCGCTTGCCAGCGTGAAAGATCTGCTCGCAATCCGGACAGCGCCATGTCAACCGCTGCTCATGGAACTCCTCCTCGTGTGACTTCCAATATGGCTTCGACTTGAGAGCCTTGTCGCAAAAGGTGCAGGCAAAGTTCTTCGGTGCCGGTGTCGATGCGGTAGAAATGGTGGAAAGACGGGAGGAAGCTGTGGACATGCGAGAGGAGGCGGCGCTATAGTGGGTGAAGGAAGAGTCGGTCGAGGCGATCGATGAGCGAGGGTCCGACATCATGCTTGGCACTCTGCTAGAAGGTACACTCAAGTAGGATGACGCGCAGCTGCCTAGTGTAGATGTCGACATCATGGATGATCGGTCGGGGACCCGCATGCCGTCTGTATACGTGTGAGCTGAACGAGCTGACGCGACGGCGGGCATGTGACGCGAACCTCCATTTCGTGCCGCCTGCAACAGCAGCAAGATCTGTTGATCGTCCAGGTGCTTGAGGCCATGGATGTGATCGATTACGGTGGGGTTCAGCGAGCCATGGGCCGAGATTCGCGGTGACGAGGTCGCGCTCTCGGACACGCTACTCAACGGCATCGAACTCTGGAGGCTGCGGCGCGGGCGCTTGAAGGAGTTGCTGGACTGAGGCGTGCCATATTGGTAGAGCTGAGGGTCGTCGTTCTCCATGTTGTCCAGGGTCGCGCGTAGAGGCCGGTATCATGCCCGAACCTGGTACAGGCGAGCCGTCGCGAGGTTGGTGTGCTGGTGTCGCAGCGAAAGGGGGACAGCCGGGCGCGAAATGGAAGCGTTCGAGAAGGTGCGGCGGTTTTGTCAGAGTGGTCGAACGGGGACGAGCTCGGAACCAAGGCCGTCAGGAAGACATTGATCGTCTAATCTCCCGGGCGGAGGAGGCGGATGGCTCTTGTTTAGAGGAGAGATCGTTTCAACAAGCCCTAATGGGTCCGGATGAAACCACTTGGCGCTGCAGGCATGGAAGCAGTCATCAATCCCGCGCAAAGTTTCGTTAAAATAGTACGTAGATCTCTACAGCAAGCCTGTGCCGCTCTGACGAAGACTCTAGTCGCTCGAGAACCTCGATCCTCCTTCTGCGAACCTCTGCGAACCCTCGAGGCCCATCACGCGCAACGGTGAACGCGAGCAATGTACCTGAGGGATCGCCAGGAAGGCCGCGGTACCGCCGCTGGGCTCTGGTTCTTCAAATCCTACCCCTGAGCGAGCGTTGTGAAACGACACTAAACTCGGAAGAGACGCTTTGTTCTTGTCGCCCATCAACCTGGGCGACAAGAATTATCGTACCACGCCCTCAGCTTCCTCACAGCCTTGCGAGGTGCGGCTTGACTTGCTTGCTGTTGGATATCCCTGGAGCCTTGCATCGCTTTCGCGAACTAAGGGCGCCGTTCTTACCCCACCATGGTGGCGCAGACACGATGCGCAAGTCCGTAATTGGCCGGGAACACGTCTCAGGACGCGTGCCCGTGGTTGAAGACGCACCTCAGATGAGGCTCAGCTCAGACCCGCAAGTCAGGGTGCACTGGAACCTGGAGTTGGAGCAGCGACTGCTGACGGTACCCCAGAACTTACAAACAGCATGTCCCTTCATTGCGCAACTCAACAGGTCGATCTTCATCAAATGCCGTACCTCACGTGAAGAGAACTCACGATGTGTTGTCAAGTCAGCAAGCCGCCCCCTGCTCGCAGTATCCGTATTGTCGTCATACTGGAGGTGCGCGCCGAACTGCCATGTCCGCCCTCCCACACCAGATCAACGGAGCGCATTGCTGAGGATCTGCTTCTGGTCCCACTACTTCGCGCTATCGATACAGCACCAGGGCGTCCTTGGCAGCAGCCTTTGAAGCCGGGGTTCAGAGTGTTCTGAGATAATTGTTGGGCGTGTGCTATTTCTGGATCAGAACAGGAGCTGTATCCACCAAAGGGACAGCGTCCTCAGAGCCCAGAAGCCGTTGTCTGAGCGTGAAAAGAGGCTTGAAACATGAAAATTCGTCCACGAAGCGAGAACTAGCGAATAATGGCCATGTCAGCATTGAGGAAGGCGGTGCCCAGATGTCCCACGCCGCGGACCAGATTCACCTGTACGGATGGACTATTTGCATAGGTTCGTATTGAGGATACGATGCAAAGTCTGTAGATAGAGTTTTCGATACGAGCGTTGCACAAGTGGGATCAAGAACGCTTGACATGATTCGATAGTACAAAGTTTTGCACCACCACGAGCGGTGTCGATGAAACTTGCTGAGCCCAAAATTGCTGGCCTTCTGGATGACAGTAGGGCCGGTACCAGCGCATAGTGTGAGTATGTGAGTATCCGGTTGTCAGGCAAAGTAACTCGAGAGTTAGGCAGCATGCTGGGGACACAGTCAGTTCACAGAGGTAAAGCATCAGTCAGACTTGACATTGTCGACACTCCAATGCAAGCTTCCAGGAGCGCTCGCGGCCCGCGAGAGATCAGCAACAACGACTTTGAGGAGACGACCGAAAGAAAGTGAAGCTGGAGACGAGTCAGGCAGAGATCGCCCATGCCTCGAAACGAGCAGGAAGCCTGTGAGACCCACCGGCGTAGTGCCCGGCGAGAGACGGCTCTGCGCTGAGCTGTACTTCGTACCCGGAAAAAAAAGCGAGAACTATGACAGCACTCGAGTACCGTTACATTGAGTGAACAACAGCTTGGAAGGAGGAGGCAGTCGCTGGGTTTCCAGAAACAGGGTCGCACCTACACAGATCCATATGTGTACTTCGTGAGTCTCTCGAAGATGATCTTGGATTGACAAGTGGTGGTCGCTGGTCAGGCCCGACTGCGTTGGCGGTCATACTTCGTAGAGGCGCACTTGCCATCTAAGGCTAGCCCAAATCGCGTCCTTTGATGCGACGCGAACGCGCTCGCGTAGAACCACTTTGATGCTCAAGTTCTCCCCACCACGAACATTTGCACGCTGAACATCTTCTAATCGCTGTCCGCCCAATCTTTACTCATAATTAGCGAGCATAGAATAATCTTTAACCCGCTTGTTGTTCTTCCGCCACATTTACATTCAGACATAGCAGCCCTGCACACGAACGCGAGTTGGTCGCGTCCATTCGTCTCGACTGTACCCGCGTAGCCTTCGCCTGCAACCCCCCTCCCCCCCATACATTGAACATGGCCACAATATGTACTGGTGCGACTACTGCGCCCACAAAACCTCGATCAAAACTTATAGCAGCTCTACGAAAGCCAACTTCCAGCGATTCTTCAGACAGCAGCGCAGACTCGGCCAGCGATGCTTCAGATATCGAGGACACGCCTACAAACACCAAGTCTGCACACGATTTGCGACTCCAAGCCAGAACCCCAACACCTGAGGAAGTGGAGGAGGAGGACGAAGTTGATGCAGAGAGCGCGTACTTGCGCATGAAGCAGAGATTGGCGGCGGAGAAGGACTCACGTCAGCAGCAGGCGCAGAAGCCGGTACTTGTCCAAGCAACGGCTATCAGTAGTGATGAGGAAGAGTCAATGCCAGTAGGAAAGGCTACCCGCACATTGGCAGGAAATACAAGACCAAGCCCACGAGCCTCACCGTCACCAAGCGCCCAATCACGCCAGTCGTCTCCTGGCCTTTTTGTCTCGCCAGGCCCGTCACCAGTCAAGAAACGGTCCCCGATCCGAGAAACAGCTGGCTCCGATGCAGATGAGTCGTCACAACAGGCGTCTGCCACCGACCTACAAGAGCGCGTGAAGCGCATCAGAGCCGAGAGACTTGCCCGGCAGCAGGGGGCAGCTGCTCAACCGACGCAGCAAAATGCACCCAAGCGATCGTCTGAGCAAGATGCGGCCAGTGACGATGACGCCGAAGTGGACAGGCGGCTGACACAACAGTCCAAGCCTACTCGACGCGCAGGCAAGAAGGCTATGGAGGCAATGGCTCGTGACCAGCAACGAATCAGCCGTAACATGCAGCTCACGCACCAGGCCAAGACGAAGAAGAGGCACACAACGAAGGATCTGTTTGCCAAATTCGGGTTCACCGCGCCGGGTCAGAAAGAGACCACAGCACCTCCCACACCGGAGAAGACTGCGGGTCTTGTGTCATCAGATGTCGAAGCTCAGGCAATGCATGACACACCACCCACTAGCCCACTTCGCCAGGGCGAAATGATGGAGGACACGGTGAAGACTGCAACCCCAACACCAAAGGCAGTAGCCATGAAAGAAGTCGACACCACACCAGTTCCTACGAAATTAGACAAGGGCAAGGGACGCGCCCCAGAGTTCGCACATCTCCCTACACGTGTGTGGCCGACACAAGTACAGCCAGTGACAGTACAGCACGCACAAATGCAGTCTGCCCGGCCTTCAGACGACATGGTGGAACTGTCTGACTCTGACTCCGACGCAAAGGAGGCGCCAAAGAGCAGATTCGCTGTGTTTGACAGAATTTGCACAAAGGAGGACGAGTCCAAGTCATTCGTGACCTTGCGTCACCTGGCCCATCTCACTTCTACCAAGCAGACTCGCCAAGGCCCGAAGGCGATCAGTCGCAGCGAGATGCACTTCTCCCTCGCACAACGTGCCCGCCAGCAAGCACAGAAGGCACGTGAAGAGAAAATCGAAGAGCTGAAGCGCCGCGGTGTCTACGTCGAGACCGAGGAAGAGCGGGAGAAGCACCAGATGGAGGTCGAGGATCTGGTGGCTCGGTTCGAGAAGCAGCGACAGAAAGATCTCAAGCTGGCCAAGATGGAGAAGAAGGAAGCCAAGGCCAATGGGGAAACCGACGACCTGCCATCCAGCGATGAGGATGACGGAGACTATGTTGGCAGCGGCGAAGAGAATGCGGCTGAAGACGACAACGAAGACCAGGAAGACGAGGAAGAGGCTGAGCTGGAGCTGTCCGGGTCAGAAGACGAACCGATGGAGGACGAAGACGCCGAGGCGGAAGACGTGACGATGGTCGAACCTGCTGAAGCGGCTGACGAGGATGATGAGCTCAGTATGCCCGTACGCAAGTCGACCACAGCACGGGCTCGCAGAGTCGTCGAGGACGACGATGAGAGCGACGATGAGGCCGAGACATCCGGATCCCCAACACAGCAAGCAACCCATGATGATGCAATGGCGGCCTTTGGATTCGGACACTCGAGCCCTGGACCCGGTCTGACACAGATGTTCGCTGGCACGATGGCGAACCTGAACGACTCTCAAGCCACCCAGGAAGAGGCCGAGCAAGACTCTCTCGACTTCCTGCGAAGCCTGCCAGACACTCAACCGGACGTTGCGTTCAGTCAGACGAACGATACGCTAGTGCCCAACAGCCAGCTGTTCGCGACGCCTCGCAAGGCGTCACAAGCTGGAGCGGAAACCCAGTTCAGCTTCGGGATTGGAGATCTGATGGGGCCAAGCCCTTCGAAGACTCAACTCTCCGAGGCCCCTGAGCCCACGCAAGATGCCGGCTTCTCCTTCTCTCGATCGCCGGCTGGCGTCATGGCCCCGGCCTCAACTGTCGAGACGGTGATGATGTCAGTCGCCGAGTCGCCGGTCAAGAAGAGATCTGGCAAGCTGCAGCGCGGGCGGCAAGAGGCGGCCGTCGAGCTCTCTGACGTGGGGGAGGACCTGAATAACGCGGACGCGGAGCTGAGTGACGTCGATGATATCCAGCGGCCGCCAAAACACAGGGACGCGTTCCGCACCATGCAGAAGGGCGCAAAGAAGCAGAAAGCCCTCGAAGCCTACAGCAAGAAGACCAGCGCGGCCAAAGACGTCGTCGAGGAGCAAGCCGACGAATCCGAAGACGAGTACGCAGGTATCGGCGGGGCCAGCGACGACGACAGCGACGAGGAAGACGAAGACCTCAAGGACATGATTGATCAGTCGGACGTCAAGGTCGACGAGCGCCGGATCGCCGCCTTTTATGCGTAAGTTTGTTCTGCCCCATCACTCCCACCGACTAACGCGTCCCAGCGAAAAGTCCAAGAAAGACGACGAGAAGAACATCAATCAGCTCTACAAAGACCTCATGAGCGGCGGCCTCCGCAGGCGAGCCGGGCGCAACGCGTTCGACATGTCCGACTCGGAAGACGAAGCCGAGACGCGGGGGCGCAGGAAACGCGCCGAGTTCGCGCGCATGCAGAAGGCGCTCCTCAGCGACGAGAAGATTGGCAAGCTGGCCGACAACCCAAAGCAACAGGCCTTCTTCAAGACGCTGGCGGACTTTGCGGATGATGCCGAGTACGACTTTCTCGAGCTGCCGGAGCCGAAGAGCGTGTACGCGGAGGAGAGCCAGAGCCAGAGCCAGAGTCAAGATCAAGATGAAGAACAAGATCAAGATCGAGATGAAGAACAAGATGAAGAACAGCAGGCTGCGGGGACAGAGGATGAGACCGTGGACGTTGTCCCGGACTCACAGGCAAACGAGACAACCACACCTCCCCCCAATGCTCTCAAACGCAAATCCCCCCCACACAGCCAGAAAGAAAACCGCGGCCCGCCCGCTGCGCGGCGGAGCGAAAACGGGCTGAGCCGCCGCCCCCTCACGCTCGCAGACGTGCAGACCAGCGTCTCAGAGCTACTGGCGGACTCGCGCGCCGCGGCGCCAGACAGCCCGTACGCGTCGTCCAGCGACTCAGAGCCGGACACGGCGCCCAAACGCGTGCGCGGCCCCGTCGTCGACCGGCTCTCGCTCAGCAGGCAGGCGACGCTCGACGAGTCGCGCGAGGCGGACGCGGGACAGGCCTTTTACGCGCCGTCGCGGGCAGCGACGGGGTTCCGCGTCCCCAGCTTGATCCGCCAGGCGACGTCGCTCTCCGCGTCCACCGTCTCCGAGGGCGGGGGCGGGCGCGGCAAGACGGGCCAGAGCGAGGGCGTGAGGAGGGGCGGCACGGGGCGCAGTAACATCCACGCGCAGGCGCGCGAGGCGGAGCGGCGGGCGGTGTTGGAGAAGAAGGAGGGGCGGCGGAAGGACGAGCTGAGGCGCAAAGTGGACGGGGCGCGGAAGAGGGGGGTGAGGAGCGTGCTGGGGGATTTGGGGGGCGGGTTTGAGTAGGTAGGCGAGACTTGGGTGCATGCAGGCAGTACATTCGTAGTTGTCACCTCCCATCACACCCTCTTACTGACCCATGACACCCTTTCACTGACCCATCACACCCCCTCACTGACCCATGACACCCGCTCACTGACCCATGACACCCGCTCACTGACCCATCACACCCGCTCGCTGACCCAAATCGCCCCGCGACACCCCGCGCGTATGCCCTGGGTAAGCACGTCGTACGGCCTTGCCTGCTTCGCGTCGTTTTCCACGGCGTGATCCAGATGCTCCAACTCCTCATCCCTTATCCGCCTCAGCTCGCCCACCAGCCTCTCCAGCTCGGGCCCCAGCGTCTCCCCCCTCGCCTCACACTTTTCACTCCAATCAAGCAGCACGCGAACCTGCTCGTTGTAATGCGTCCCAATCTCCGTCTCCACAGCCTCGGTGCACGCCATGGCGGCCTCGCGCCCCATGGCGGCAGTCGCCCAGCCGAGCAAGCTCGCGGCAGCCGTCCACACGGGCGTCATAGCCGTGGGCCGTATGCGGTGCCGCGCAATCACGTCGTTGAAGAAGGCGTAGTGCCCTGCTTCTTGTGCGTACATGTGCGCCATCAGCGGCCGGAGGCGGGGGTGTGATCGGATCAGCTGCGGGGTTTGCGCGGCGTAGATTAGGATCGCGGCCAGTTCGCCGGTTTGGTTGACGCGCAGTGCCGAGGAGAGGAAATCGCGCTGCGTCTGCGAGAGCTCGTGGATGCGGGCATTGGCGCGGGGCGGTGGCGAGGCGGACGTCGAGGCGGATGGCGAGGCGGACGGCGAGGCGGGTGGGGAGGCGGACGGCGATGCGTCGAGGTGCGAGGCGGCGAGTGGACTGCCCGAGCGGGTGGCCGAGTGGGTGGCCGGGTAGGCGACGGGCGAGGCGACGGGCGAGGTGGTGCTTTGGTGCCGCCGGCGCGCGCGCGAGGGAGACCATGTGCATGCGGCGAGTGTTCGCGGCGCGAGGCAATCGAGGACGGGCGTGTGGCTGCGGGCGAGCGTCTGCGGCGAGAACAGTCGAGCAGACATGTCGTGCGGTTGCTGCGCTGCAGCGGTGGACGCGAGCAAGAAATGGTGGAAGCAAGCAAGAAATGGTGGAAGCGAGCAGGAAATGGTGGACGCGAGCAAGAAGCCGTGGACGCGAGCAAGAAATGGTGAGAGCGAGCAAGAAGTAAATGCCGAGCGCGACGAGGAGCACACAAACGTCCCCCGTCCAAGCACTCTCGCAATCGATGAGCTCACCACGCGCGGCCCGACCCACTCTGCGGCGTTGCGGCGACGCGCCTGCCAAGCGCTCTCCCGTCCTCGCTTCCCCGACTTTTGAGCGACAGCGTCTCTGCCACGCCCCTGATCCAGGACGTCTTCCGCGCCGAACATTGCCCCTTTGCCGCACCGTTTCGACCTGCTCCGCGCCGATACCAGCCTCTCCTCTGCAGACTCGGCACATCCCCCTCCGCCATGTCGGACATTGACGACGAGCTCTTCGCCCTCGCTGGCGGCGACGAAGAGGCCGACATTGAGGAAGGCGAGGCGTGAGTGCCGTCCGTTCTCGGGCCCCGACCGGCCGCCGCTGACTCTCGCAGCTCCTCGCCCGCAGCCTCGGACCACAGCGAGCTGGGCTCCGATGCCATGGAGGAGTCGGACTCGGACCGCGACGACGACGCGCCCGCGCCGTCGTCGGACGTGCCCTACCCGCTCGAGGGCAAGTACGTCGACGAGGCCGACAAGCGGCGCATCATGGCCATGTCGCAGCTGGACCGCGAGGAGATTCTGGGCCAGCGCGCCGAGGACATGAGCAAGGCCAACTTCACCGCCGAGCTGGCCCGCCGCGCCGCCAATATGCAAAACGAGCGCAAGCGCAAGCTCGACGCCGACGAGCCCGACGAGACCCGGCGGCCCAAGGTCAAGGCCCGCGTCAACGACAAGCTGGAGGAGTACAAGCGCAACCGGGAGCAGCGCGGCCAGCAGCGCGACCGCGACCACGACCGCGACCGCGACGCGGACCGCCGCGCCGCGCGCCGCGGCTCGAGCTCTGCGGACCGCGGCGGCGCGTCGGACGTCGATGTCGACGCCGACGGCGAGAGCGACGTCGAGTGGGACGAGCGCGCGCCGGCAAAGCCCCGCGACGACGTGCCCGCGACGCTGCGCGACCTCGAGTCGGTGCGCGTCGGCCGCGGCTTCTTCTCCGAGGTCTGCTTCTACCCGGGCTTCGAAGACGCCGTCACGGGCACGTTTGGCCGCGTGGGCGTCGGCCAGGACGCCCAGCGCCGCACAATGTACAAGATGGCGCAGATCAAGGGCAAGTGGGCTGCGACGAGGCTGCGACGTGCACTGACAGGTCAACACAGGCATCAGCACCGGCAAGCCGTACGTGTTTGAAGGCAAGAACGGCGCAAAGATTGCGACGGACCAATACGTGATTGCGCAGCACGGCGCCACCAAGAAGGAGTACCAGTTCCAGTTCTTGTCCAACCAGCGCTTTGACGAGCGCGACCTCGACGTGTACACGCAGTCCCTCGCCGAGTCCGGCGCCAAACTCGCCACCAAGGCCGCCCTCGAGCGCAAGTACGACGACCTCCGGAGCCTGCACAACCACCACTGGACCGAGGCCGAGGTCAACGCGCGCATCGCCAAGAAGAAGCAGTACGAGCACCTGCTGCACCGCAGCGCCGCCGACGCCCAGCCGCGCATACAGACGCAGTCGGAAGTCGCCGCCATCAAGACGGCAGAGCTCAACCGCGCCAACCGCATCAAGGAGGCCGAGCGCGTGCGCAAGGTCCAGCTCGAGCAGCAGCGCCAGAAGAAGATGGAGCAGAAGAAGGAAGCCGCACGCAAGCGCGTCGAAGAGGAGGCGCGCAAGGCCCTGGAAGACGCCCAGCTCAACACCGACACGGACGCCCTGTTCGCCGACGACGGCGCGAGCGCGCCGAGCTCGCGGGCGAGCACTCCCAAGCCCGGCGAGAAGAAGACGGGCGGGCGCAAGGGGCTGCCGACGTTTCGGAAGCCAAAGACGGACGATGACTTTATTGCCAACATGGATCTCGACATTGACATTGCCATTTGAGACGCTGCTCTCCCTCGACACTGCTGCTCTCCCTCGACACTGCTGCTCTCCCTCGACACTGCTGCTCTCCCTCGACACTGCTGCTCTCCCTCGACACTGGCACTGCTGCTCTCCCACGACACTGACACTGCTGCTCTCCCTCGACACTGACACTGCTGCTCTCCCACGACACTGACACTGCCATTTGAGAAGCTGCTCGCCCTCGACACCAGTCTGCCGTGTCGCCTCGACCTCGGCGTTTTGTGGTTTCCGTTCATTCTTGCACACTGGCGTTTGAGCGGCGCAATGGCGACACCCACCAGACAGCAAAGCCTATCATCCATCTATAGACGCGTGCAGTCATGGCCATGTTGCATAATCTACATATCACTAGCACCTATATACCCATCTGATCCACTTCCCCTCCAAATGGTCCGTCTTCGTGCAGCCCTGTCGGACACACCTACAACAGCCTCGCGAGGCCAAGAGTCTTCCAGCCGCCCCGTCTCTCCGTGGCCTTGGCACGAAGCACTCGCAAGTTGGACATGTCGACAACAAAGTAGTGTCTGCTAACCCCGCCTTTCGGCCCTGGTGCACTTTGTCCTGACTTGAAATAGCAGTCGAGTCCACGCCCGAGTCTGGAGCTGTCCACGTCCGAGTTTGGAGCTGTCCACGCCCGAGTTTAGAGCTGTCCACGTCCAAGTTTAGAGCTGTCCACGTCCGAGTTTAGAGCTGTCCACGTCCGAGTTTAGAGCTGTCCACGCCCGAGTCTGGAGCTCTCTTCCATCTACAACAGACACCGCGCTGGCTGTGTCTTGGGAGCTAGTTGCCGCGCACTTCCACGTCAAGGCTCCGAGCAACGATGGCCAGGACACGACGCACTACCAACAGCCAGCGCTCGGTATGACTCGAGCTCGATGGCTGTACTCTTGACCTCTTGACCTCTTGACCTCTTGCGCTCTGGCCCGTGCACGGGGGAAGAGAGATGGCTGCCGTGCAGTTCTGCTTGCAACCGTCGTGGTTCCTCAGCCCTGCGCTTGTCCGACTGCCGTGTGAATGCGTCTAAGCATACGCCAGCCTCCTTCATCGTTGACGACCGAAACGTCACAGAGACAAGGTAGCAGACAAACACGCATCTCGCCGCACGGTTCCACGATATGTGGGAAGCGGCCGTCTGCCCAGGACAGAGCAGGAAACTGGTTTCCATCAACAAAGGTGCTTCTCCTGTCTTCTCCGTCCGCAAGTGCCCCACGTGTGAAATGGGTGGGTTCAACGCTCAACTTCGCCAGCGCTGGCATTCAAGTCATGTCTTTCAGCCTGAACATCGTTGCTCGAGGGCTCTGGCTTGCGGTGCAAGGTTGGGAGTTGGGAGGTGGGAGGTGGGAGGTGGGAGGTGGGAGGTGGGAGTTGAGAGGTGGGAGTTGAGAGGTGGGAGGTGGGAGGTGGGAGTTGAGAGTTGGGAGAGTGATGGCGCGACATCGTGAGACAAGGGCAAGATATTGAGATGGGGGTCCGGGGTGCAGACTACAGATATACACAAGGCTTACAGGAAACTTGTACATGGATCTGGTCCAAGAGACCGAGCGCAGAGTGTGGGGTTGGGAATAATGGCGGCAAGTACGCAAGGGAGGCTCGGTTGGTGCTCACTAAGCGACCCTGATAATAGTCATTGCACTCGCCCGCGCTTGTGCCACAACACCGATCGCGTGGTGCTTGCTCTCAACAGTGAGGTTCTTCTCTTGCTGCTTCCCCGCGTTGTTAATTGCATGTGATTCAAGAGGTTGGTGAGTATGTGTCTGGCATGAGTGACGCAGACAATCTGCTTGCCTTGGTTCAGGAGACAAAGGAACACAACGCTGAAATGTTCTGGTGCACTCAAAGCAAGTTGGTTATGCTGACTATTCTCTATTGCGTTGCAGTATTGAAATCGAGCATACCATGTTGGTGGAGTCCCGGGGAGCAGCCTGAATGATGGACAGCTCCTGTCATTCACCCAACCATGCTATCAAAGTCCCGGGGAGCAGCCTGAATGATGGATAGCTCCTGTCATTCACCCAATCATACTACCAATCGTCCATTAGATTGTGGCGTGATGGTTAGTCAACCTGAACTGCTTCAGAAAAGACTGCAGCGACTTATCATCTACAAGAGGAGTGAGCGTACCTTGTGCAGCCAGCCTCACGTCTACCCTCGTAGCTGTTGTGACCATCTCAACCCCGCAACAGAGTCCAAAGAGAACCACCATGCCGGCAGCAAACGAAATCTTTACCGATGACTTTCTTGAGAAGACACAGGTCATCCTCGAGCTGTGCTCGGTCTATCGAGCCAGCATATCCTTCCGATCCAAAACGCTCGACGTGACCCCTACGGAGTACAAACGGACTTTGGCATGGGAGCCCCGAGGAGGACAAACAAAAGCAACTCTCGTCAGCACACCAGCGGACAAGATCATTCATATCGCTTCAATCACCAAGATTCTGGTGGGTACTGCGCTAGCGCATGCTATTGAAGTCAAAACCGAAGAAGACATCGATAACAAGCGGTAGTTAAAATTCAGGGATATCCGGAAACGTCTATAAGAGAGGTATCCAACATGTACAAAAGCTCTTCCGACCCAGTTATGGGTCTTATACCCAGGAATCCAACCGTCTATGAATTTCTCGTCCACTCTTCAGGTCTGCCATCGTGCGACGACTGCCTTTCAACACTAGACAAGACACCGCCGATGGAGCTTCGAGGGATACTGGGACATGTGCCGGATCTTTTTCAAAGAGAGACCACTACAGACACATCAGTAAGATGGACTAATTCAGCAACATGAGTTTTGTGATCATCGCATTGGTGATTGAAGCTTGTTGGAATGGCCGTCTGGACGACTTCCTGCAAGAAACTTTATTCGGGCCACTCGAGCTGCACTCCACGTCTACTGGTCTCGGACCAAACTGTACTGCAGCAAGCGAGAGATGGACCGTCGACCAGCATGGGACACGCCGCCCAGTCCAAGTGCCAGACTATACAGCGACTGGTTCCGAAGCCGCTGGACTTGGGGCCTATACCACTGCCGAGGATCTTGACACGTTCTTCTCGTCCGTCATCGATGCATCTCACGACATTGAATCGGTTCTCCAAGACTGTGAACGCCTTGCTCTGTATCGAGAACAAATGGGTCGACGGTGTATCGTATTATACCCCACTTGGTCTGGAAACGACGCTGAGCGGAGTAGCCATCGGTTTTTTGTCGCCAAGTGGCCTGCAATTTCCTACAGAGCGCTCCACTACCTTCCCCGCCGTACCGGGCAATACATTGGAATAAGAAAGATGGTCAAGATCAACGACTCCGACAAACGACTTATCCTGAGCCATTCAATATCCAGAGGACATTTATTGGAGTTGGGGTTCCTCACCAGCTACAAGTGGGCAGAAGCTCAGACGGGAGAACACATCTTTCGATGAGCGGCGTCACCAGCAGTCCCGGGCAAGCGACAACAACATCTGGACGCTTTGAATTATTGTAGACCGGCGACGCACATCTGTGGATGTTTGTTCATTCACACATGTCAATCGATCGCTTAGACAATGGCGACTGGTTGGATATGCGGTTCAGCGTAGTCCGGGACGCGGCCGGCACAGTTGAACTGAAACGCGTGAGGAAAGATGGGACCGAGCACCGGTACGGTACAAACGACAAACATGAGCCTCGTTCGTGCTGGGCCAACGCCTGATTTCACAAAGCTCATGCTAAGGAGCTATATATAACGTCCATCGTCAATAGTAAAGTCAGTGGAGCTAACATGGGCATAGACTTTACTTTCCCAGCAGCGGGCAGCAAGTGCCAGGAACGAGCAAACCTGTACCTCAATGTTCTGGACAGCTCACGAGAAAGAGTCCAAAGGCGGGAGAGTAGCGAGTTCAAATCTCTACACCGGCTCGTTGCCGACCAACAACAACAGTCGTAAGCTCCCCCATTCCTTCACGCAGTTCTCCACACGCCGCCCCATGCATGCAGCCAAAAGAGACGCCCAGGTAGGAAAGAGCATAACAAGGGCTCCCTCCCCGCTTACTTGGTTTGCCAGAACACGGGCACATGGCCTCTATTCTTGCAATTGGTTGGGCAGCAGACGGGTGTCGGTCGTCATGTCGAATCCTGTTAGCAGTGGACAGGACAGCTTTAATAATTATACAATCCTCATTAGACAGCTAGAATCTGCAGGCTACAAAGATCCACGCGGGTATTCATGCCTTCCAGCGTTAGTTATATCCGATTTAGCAAATTATGCGTAGCAATGCTAAACTTTAGGGGTTTTTCAGGAGCATCGTTGTTCCCTTACATACTAGGTACCTGTTTTTTGTGTTTGTTGGTGGCTGTTTGAGCTGTGCAAGGGGAATCATGATAGAATGGTAAGATAATCATGTCCATTGACCTAACTATGCCAGGTCCATCCACCGCTGTGAACCATGCGCCTCTGAATAGCCGCCGACTTAAATGCTTAAAAGGTATAGAACTCCAGAAATGTGCAAAACATGCAAGCGCCCAAGTCATCACATCATCACAACATGCCCTCAACGTTCGTTCGCTGTTTCAGACCTTCCGCCCTCTCCGTCGAGGCAGTGCGCTCTCGACACCCACAGTCGCCGCCGGCGCCGATGAGGCCATCTTTGGCGCCATGATGCGCGGCGCAGGTATACCCTTCCTCGGCGTCGCACCACTGATGCCTGTCCTCTTGTTCTCCTTCTCGGCCGCAGGGACCGGGGCCGCGCTCGTCGACGACGCAGAAACGGGCTTTGGCAGCTTGACGCTCTTCGGCGGAGCGATGCGACTCTTGCGCTCTTTGACTGGCTCGAGCCCAACAGATGCAGTCTCGGGCGCTGGTGGCTTCGGTTCTGTGGGTGGGGAAGGTACGGGCAGCTTCTTGGTGACTTTGGGCTTGGGTATGCCCTTCGCTGCGGGTGCGGGTATGGGCTGGGACACAGCAGCTTTCTCTTCTTGCACAGCGTCTGGGAGGAGAGAGCAACTTGCCAACAACCCTTTGCCAGGTGTTCCATTCGCTGTGCCGAGTCCTTTGACACGGCGGACCTTTGGCGCCAGTTTATTGTCGGTATTTGTTTTCGCCTTGGGCTTCTTCGTGGCCACTGGCCCGGCAAGACTGAGCTCGTCTGGAGTAGCCAGACTCTCCGCTTCGGCTTGCTGTGAGGCGATGGTATCTGCGTGCTCCTGGTAGTAGGCCAATGTCTCGTCCCATCTGATCCCTCTCCTCCCGGGCACAGGTGGCTTCTCTGCGTCAAGTTCGGCGGGCGGAGACAGAATGGCGTCGGCCTGGATTTTAAGCAGGCGCAGGCTGACCATGAAAGCTCCCTGTTTGTTCTTCCGCGTGTTGTTCCGGGTGATGAAGGCCAGTTCTTGTGCATCAGTCTTCTTGAGGACGACTGGATCGCTGCCATCAGCGCGGCGAATCGCAATCTTGTTCGTGGTAGAACCTGGCGCGGCTGTGGCTGGCGCTGGGAGGCGCGACTTCTTTGCACGAGACGAGCGTCGCGAGGCCCGTTCAGCCTTTTCTGCAATTTCCTCGCCCTCAGGTTGTTCCAGCGAGGGAGACATGGATTCCTCAACCTCAACTTGCTGTACTAGCGACTCGATCAGATGAAAGGCAGACTCGCTGTCAATTTTAGTGGGCGAGTTGGGATCCATCTCTTCGAGAGCTTTGCGTGGAGACGCCAGGGCGTGACGCACGACGTCCGAGTCTCGTCTGTTCTCCAGCGACGACCGCCTCGTGATGATTGCAGACCTTTCGGCCTTGCTGGCGGCTGCCCGGCTGAGGAAGCTTTTCAAGATGGCGGCGTCGTCGTCGATGGCGAGAGTCATTGTCGCATCGTCAGGGCCAGAGTCGATGCGTAGGGGCGGTGGCGGGGAGTGCAGCTTCTTTGGCGTATGTTCTCGGGAAGGTATTCTTGCTGGTGTGATGGAAATCGTCAGGCCGTCGGCGATGTTGTGCGTTCCACTCGCGGCGGGTTTTGGTGTTGGTGGCTGTGAGGCAAGCTCGCCTTCCAGCTCGTACTCCCCCTGGATGTCCATTTGCAGTGATGCCTCGGTAACTTCTTCTGACCCGTCATCCTTCAGATCGCCGCTGTCACTCTCTCTCGGCCTTATCGAACTTCTGAACGCACCCAGATCGACCTCAGACATGTCAGCATCCTCTTCTTCGTCTTCACTGGCATCCATCGCGATCTGTGCATTATCAGTCTTGTTCTCTGGAGACGCTTGTGTCGGCATTCGAGGATAGGCAATATGCTTTGCATCCTCCAGTTGAGCGTCAGTCATTGGTGCAGTCGATAGCTCAGGAGAGTCTGTCGCTGCGGTACCAGGTTCCAACGTGGGGTTTTTAGCAATGTGGTCTTCTCCTTGAGACTCGTTGACTGTGTTCTCGACTACGTATGGCGTGGCAGCGGGCACGTTGGCAATGACCTCAGCGAAAGCGCTGTCGAGGTTCGGCCCCGTTACGGTAATATCTTCTCCTTCGACCTGCTCGGTTGATGTATCTGATCGCGTCTCCTCGTCAACGTTGTGTGGCAGCTCGGGGTACGCAACCTTCGCCGGCGATGCTGACTGGACTTTCGAGGAGCGCTTGACAGGCGATCTGAAGATAAGCGCAAATGTCGAGTCCTCCGGCAGGATGTTGCCAAGCTTCTGCTCATCTTCTCGCTCGTCGTCTTGCTCGTCGAGGCTCTCGTAGTCCGGCAGCTCGTCCACCGTCTGGGCCGTGTCTATGGCAAATGTGAATGACGATGGCTGGTGTGGCACGCCCACGTCCACGCCCTCGTGGCTCATGTCTGCGTCTGCGTCTGCGTCTGTGGCGTCTGGCGTGTCGTCGCTCTCGCTCTGGTCTTCGTGCAAGGCCTTATCGGCATGTGCAGACCTCTTGCCTGCATGCGGTGTCAGTGTTGTTCTCTCCCACTACTTTGGAAGTCGCGTACGGGGCAGTGTGCTCTTTCCGCTCTCCCAGCGCGTCCCTTTGAAGACGCGCTTGGTGCCGTGCATCTTCTCCATAGCCTTCGGGCTCATCCTCTGCCGTCTCTTGACTGCGCGTGAGTGCGCATCATGGGTTTCCTCGTCCGTCTGCTCTTCTTCCTGCTCGTTGGCGACGCTCGACCGTACGCTGAATCTGCGCCAGATGCTCTTTGATTTGCCGTCGCTGACCTGCTTCACTTCGCGCTTGCGCTCCCAGCCTCGGGGTATGCGGGCGACGGGCAGGGCGTTGGGGTCGAGGTGTGCGGTGTCGGTCTCGTGCCAGGTCTGGTTGAACGGTGTGGGCGGCAGGCGTTTGCGCGGCGATAGCTGACGTCTGCGTGGAGACGCGGCCATGGCGGCAAAGAGAAAATGGAGCTGCTGGTTAGTATGCACACGCTGTCCGGCCGAATAGCACAAGCCCGCACTCTCTTCGCAACCGACGTAATGATGTTCGACGCGCAAAGGTGTGTTTGTTTACGGATGCGCTGGAGTAGGGCACTAGCAGGGGTCATCGGTCGCGCCTGTCTTTGCCCGATTCGGGCTGCCGCTCCAACTTTTTGGCCGAGCTTCGGATTGACGACAGCTGCACCGCGCAGACCAACGTGCACACACCCGTCGCTCTATCAATCGCCCGTCGCAACTCGTCTCCTCCGCCTAGAACCCGCCGCACAAACGTCAAGATGGTGCCCAAGCCACAGGGCCAGGCCATGCAGTCGGTCACCCACCGACCACTGCCTCCACTCCCCAAGCTCCGCGTGCGCCGCCCAAACAAGCCAGAGACAAACCCATGCTTGGGCGCAATGTCATCAGTTCTGGGTATGTACGGTCTAACAGTTGGAATGAAGTTGGAGGGCGGACGTGGAGGCGCATGAGGATGAAGTGGCGCCGAACCATCAGACAGAACATGGCTGACTTGGCCCGTACAGGCTGCTGGGCATCGTCAGGATACAGCGTGCAAGGCTGCGCGGCGCTGGAGCAGAAGCTGCGGCAGTGCATGGATCAGCCGGTATGTGCTGGCTGGAGTGAAAACGTGGGACGTGTGCTAACAGCCCACAGCGCGACAAGAACCAGAAGAAGAACAACATCAACTACCACCTGTCGAGGATGTACCCCAAGATCATCGGCCCTCACAAGCGAAACTAGGCCGACATCAAGTTGCGGCGCATCGAGCTTTGTACACTACTTGCATACCCACAGCAGCGAGACGGACGATGCGCCAGCGCGCAGGAGAGGTTTTATCAGCAATCACAACACCACATTATTGGGACGGCGTTCAGGCAAGGTCGATATGGTTGTATATATGCAGTCCAAGAGCAGGAATAGATCTCCACTGATCACCCGTGCATCACGCATCTGTGCAGTCGGAGGCGCGGGCCAGGCCGGCATCCTGCTTTCTGCTCTTGTCATGTCGAGGGGGGGGCAGCTCCAGCCTCGCCTCGCGCAGCGCCTCCTACAATGCCATCATGTGCGACCAACTGACACCCTGTATCAGACGCAGACGCGGCAAACAACCACCAACGCATGCAAGACGCGCAATGCTCACCCCTTCGCCCAGCTAGCCCAGCCAGAGGCGCACTACAGCCTGGTCCCGCCTTCCCTCAACGACCAGCCAACCTCTACTCTGCCCTCTTCGCCAGCAGCACAGATAGTGCTTCCTTGTGTAGCACGCGAAAACGTGTTTCGCGCGCCCCCAACTCCGCACTGCCGGACATCGAACAGTTTCATCATACGGGTTCCACCAAAATACCCGCAGGGCTTACCACATCGTCACCGTCTATTCTTACACGCAGTCACACCCTGGCGTCATTCTGGAAGGAACGCGCATGGATTCATGCACGGATGACCTATCACAGCCTACCAACCACCCCACCTTACCCGTTGTACTCAGCCCCGGCTGCTTACTTCCCTCTCTGGTGGCCGTGTCGCGAACCTTTCCTAACAATGAGAGGCTGCTACTGGGACTGCACAGCATGGCTTGACCTCGATTGTTGCTATTGGCAGACCACTGCAAGGGTGCTGTCGACGCCTTGCCTTGAACACGCTGGCGCACCTGCATGATCCACGATTCACCACGGTAACAGCGGATCGCCAGGGTATGACCCGATCATAGCAAGGGAGCTTTAGGCTTACTCTGCCACTTCTTTTCAGAGCTCGCGATGCACTCCGCCGCGGATTGCCAGCCTATCTTAAGCGTTGCGCGCCTAACAGTTTAAAAATGCCCTGATACTCCCCGCTCTGCCGCGTCGACCGTTTAACAATATAACCTGGGACCCGGTACCTACTGAAGCCCGAGCTTCGGCTGCCCTCATGGAACCTCGACAGTCATGAAGCTCTCAAATGCAGGATGTGCGACCCTGGCGCCAGCTCTATCGTCCGCGGCAGCGTTTGCAATGCCCGAGCCTACGCGACTCTTTGCAGTTGCTGCAGACAACTGGAGCCCGGCACCAACAGCAGCACCACGATTCAGTATCTTTGGCCGCGATGCTCTGCAAGCGAATGAAGGCAGCACGTTCGGCTACGTTTCCGGGCTGTCGGGTACGTATCTTCCGCCTCATGGCGAACATCTACTGACTTGTTCAGCATCACCAGTAGCCTGCCCCAACTCACAGATATGGGCAACAAACACATACTTTGGTGTTCACGGGTGCTGTCCCTCTTCCAACCTCTCAGCCTGCACTATCCACACAACATGCATCGCCTCGACCGCCATGAGCGCTTTCTGCACGGACGATGCGTGCTCATCGAACAGCGCAGCCGCGAAATGCACCGCCAGTACAGCACAAGAATGTTACAAATACCTCATCGACTACGGCTCGACAATCATGACGCAACACGGCTGCACATATTCTGGGTTCACAAGCACGATCCCGCACACCTACGGCCTGACATCCACACCCTTCATTATTATCACGGTCACGGCCCCGCCGGTAAGCACTTCAACCTCGATTCGAACCTCATCTTCAACGGGGAACTCGGGAGGAGAGAAAAAGCATTCCCTCGGCCCTATCGTAGGCGGCACAATAGGCGGCTGCACCATTCTCTCGCTCGTCGCCCTCGCCGCATTCGTGATCCACCGTCGCCGCTCCAAACTCAAGACTGCCCACCGCGCCGCCCACCCACCGCCGATCTCGCAGTACCAGCACGACGGCCCGACCTTCGACCCCCACGGCTTCCAGACCACGAACGGCTGGACCGAGCAAGACATCAAGACGTGGCAGCATACCGCTGGCGTTGACAGACCCGCTACCGGGCAGTACGTCGGCGTGAGTGAGGTCCATGGCGAGGATAGAGCGGTCGAGGTCGAGGCCCCCGAGAAGACGAAGAGTGGACACTGGACCGTGCCGGGCGTTGCGCCAGTCGAGGCCGAGGCCCGGCTGGTGCGGAAATGATCGCGTTTAGAGGCGGGAGTACAGGGAAGAGAGATGGGAAGAAGAGTTGGTGGAGGGGCCCTTCGGAGGCGCCATGAGCGCGTTGAGGGTGGGATGGTTGTACCGCGTTCGATTGTTTTCTTCGCTGGCTTCGGCTGTGTTTGTTGGCTTTGGCCGCTTAAATTTCCTCGTTTCTTATCTTTTTGTTGGTGCGTTATCATATACCCTCGCTTGAGCGTGCATTGGGCGGCGTTTAAAAAGCATACTGGGACGTGGCGACCCGTGACCTGATTCCGCATTGGTTGATTCTATAAAGAAGATAATATAATTACCTTAATTCTGTTCCGGCCTGTTCATTCTACATCCCTGCCGCTTTGGAACTGGCTCAATGTGCAAGCGATTTGACTCATGTTTTTCGCCTTCTGTCTCTTCTGAAAATACACGTCGTTCAGGACAGTGTCGATGTCTGTGCTCTCCTCGCTGCGACCAAAGGCCAACACGCAATTCATATGTTCCGAATAGCACCGTGTTCATCGAGACATTTCCCTTTTGCCTCCTCAGGTCGACCTCCAAAGAAACAACAAAGAAATAGATGTTTTCTTGCTTCTCTCAATTTCAAACACATCGTGAAAAATATCCTGTTAGTGCCTGCGCACCCTCTGTCGTGTAAAATATATACGGGCTTGTAACATATTTTAAAACCTCACCCATTTACAGGCGTTTGCCTTCGAAACGACCCGGCGATTTCTGCATATCAACTGCTGCATAACGCCTGTATCGAATCGCAAAGCACTAAACGGTGCAGTTTATGGCGAGGATCATGCGACTTGTTCTATGATAACTTAACGAACTTTCGATTTGAGACCTTAGGATGCTGCGACGACGCACCACTTTTTCTCTGGATGAATATCCCACTATTCTCGAATTTGTGTCCTTGCAGTCTGATGATCTGTTCTGGAGTCTGTGCGAAGGATTTGAAAGTATCTCAGCGCTCTCCAAGCAGAAGTACCATCAAACACTGAAATGTCTCCTTGTCTCCTTTCGTCGCTACAGATCCGATTGACTACCCTTTCAGGGGAACAGGAGCTCACTGCTGTTCGAGATGCGTGTCTGTTCGCTGAACTGCACTCAGGAGTGGGCTACAACATAATTCCCCTGCTAATGCTTCGCGTAGTACAAATACTCAACACCGCACGAATGCCGTCTGCTTCTACACCTTCACTGTCCTTCTAAACTCCAAAGCAAACTCGCGTCAAGATATTTTCTTCTGCCTCTGCCAGTTTTCAGCATCTTCGGGAAAGTCGCATGTCTGTTCTTCCGCGCCCTTCTCTTCTGACAAAATTCTGTCAACAACTACGTATGGTTCAAACGTAGCCAGCTACATAATCGTGGTCGGTGTCAAGCAGCTTAAATCACAACCATGGGTCAACAATCATCGGCATCAAATCATATTTTCTGCTGCATGTGCCTGCTACTCCAAAATGACTGCAGGGTCAAGACATGTGCTGCGAGTCTTGCAGCTGTGTGCGATGCTTGAGCATAGAGTATCCCGAATGTGGTACCCTGTGTTTCCTGGTCACACTATTTTCATTGATCGAACTCTGAATTGAACATTGCTCAATGATGTGGTTCTCTGACTCCGCCACCCTAGAGGTGATGAGCTGTTGGTCATGTTCGCGCCCTTGAGGCTCTGTAAGTTCGCGAGAAATCTACACATGTTAAGATCATGTGTATGCAGGCTAGTGGCGCGACACAGTGTTTCTTGACCGGGCCGTTGAAACATCACTCCACCAAAGGAAGGATTTGAAATCTACCCCCTTACCACCTGGTTAGATCGACCGAAAATGGCAGCTGACTGTAATATCCGAGGCAATATATGTTTGATGCGGCATTTGGCGAATAAGTGCTCTGGGAAAGATCTCATGGTTCTCTTTGAGATTCTGGGTCGGGCTGGTACTATTCCCCATCCCTTATTAAAGCCAGATTTCTGAACTTTGCTCATGATACTCCACGAGTCACTCAAAGTCAGTGGGATCTCGCCTGTGTCGTTCTGCTCTTTTGGGATGTCTGGAAGATGCCCCATCACGACTGGCTTTGTGCACAGCCTGATCCCTGAGTTTCACTTAACAGTATGCCCCATGATGGTTACAAGATCGTGGAATCTGATTGAGGTCTATGCGTATACGTGCTAAAGCCTTAAGACCGGTGCTGGAAATCGTCTTACTTGGCGATCTCAAACTTTCAGATCTCTGAAGAGGCGAGCAACGTCCGCGTCGCACGAGGGCGCCTGTCTTGATATATCTAGGTGCACACTCATATCTTATTCTGCAAGACTGCTGCTGTGATCCTGTTTTTTGGATGTTGACCCAGTTACGACACAGGACTCGCGATGCTATATTCTCAGATATACTGGGCATCTGAAGAATGTCCTGCCCGGTGTCACTGAGTGACACTCATCTGCTTCCTTGGAAACTATTGCTACTGTCATGTCTTCAATCTTCAACCTCTCCTTACTTGCGCTGTAGGCCTTGAAAGAAACATAGCCAGCATACGTGTGCTTCTAATCTTGCTAAGAATTCCGAAAACTATCCCCACCATTTGACTTTTGCTGCTGTGAGCAGGCCCCATGTCATCTAAAAGCCGTTACAGGACTCACCAAAGCAGTACAAAGTCTACGGACAGCTGCAACCCTCCAAGCTGCGGCAACTAACAACAGCACACTTCTGTAGGCCTTGACAGTTATTCCTGGGGCTTTCCAATAGTGCTGCAACGTATGCTTTTAGAGATGCATAGAGACATATGATGGGGTGGCTCCAGTTGATGACGGGGCAAGTTCGGGCTCACGCTTTCTTACACCCTGTAGTTGATAAGCATTATCCTGAACAGTTTACGAACAACACGTATAACATACACTCAACCAGAGGACTCACATTTGAGAACGCTAAAACGCTGATCTCGATTGGACTGACCTTCGGAAAAGCTCCATGCTCTGGAGGGCACAAGCAGCCGTAGCATAACAAGCCTATCCTAGTCTTTTCGGAGACTCGCGGTATTTCTTTACTTGCCTCATTTCCTCTCTCTACAGAAAGGGCTGTGGCAGTAATCAGCCGCAAATGGAACCCGGGACAAACTTCGACAGACTCAACCACTCATCGCTCCTCTCATCCGGGCCTCGTGTGGTGCCTGTCCTTCTCATCGATATCTTCCAGTACTTCGGACGGATGCTACACTTCCCTTCCGAAGAAGCGAACTCGTGATCTCAAACGTATCTTCCAATTTTTGCATACGGTGTTTTGTTGGGCAGGAACAGCACTGCTAGTACACATCTCCTCCGATCTGCGCTGCGGAAGCTTGAGCCTGCTCGGACGGCGTCAAGGACTGAGCGACTTCATATTCACAGGGTATTTCACTGATGCCGGGAACAGGGAGCTGGTACGGGTGTAAGTAGCCTATTATCCGGATCGGCCTTGCTGCGCTCGTAGTCCCGGCCATGATGCGGTACGAACATTCAGGTGTGACTGTTGTGGTGGACTGGTGAGGACACATGCGAGCGAGAAGTTCCGTAGCACTCAGGCTCTTGTTTGTCGGGCTTCGGAAGGCGTGCACACGCTTGAATACCAGCTTAGCGCCGATGCGCTGGCCAGATGAGTGAAGGCTCTGGATCATATTGTTCTTAGTGACCGTGGAGCTGCCACTGGCCAGATGGTGTGTGGATCAGTGGCCCGACATATCCCCTCGAAGCAAACACCTTGGACACCTCCATCGTGTTGGCGATATGTGCGCTGACGCCCCAGTCTCGTGCTAGCAAGTCGAAGAAGGCGTCCTTGTCAACAGGTAATGGCCCAGCGTTAGCTTGCCTATGACGCAGTCCCGATCGTTACCACAGATTCTTTGCAGTTCAGGGCCAAGTAGATAATGATGAGTGTGGCTATGTGAACTGTCGATTGAGTCTGCCTGAGGGAGCGATTATCTACAGTGGAAGCGGGAGAGCTAACCCAAACGGGAAGCGAGCTGGCCAATGAGAGCGCCTGCCTGCGCGGACAGATAACGTAGGCCACAGAAAGGTGACCAGCAATCTGCCTGTTGGGTCTGCGTTGATTCCGTCTGGATGCCGAGCAAGGAAAGCAAGGGCTGGCGGCTTCGGCGGCCGTCGCCGAGCGCTGCTTGCTTTGGGAGGCGCTGAGGATAGTGGCTGTCCGCTCCAGGTCTGACGGCGCGTTGATGCTGCGGTGTTCTGGCTCGGTTTTATAGCACGAGAACGTACCGGTATCGGTACCGTACAGAAGAGCGAGTTGATCTTGGCATGATCTTTGAGCGCGCTTACAAAGTCTAGGTACTACCGTAGTGGGTAATCACGAAGCTCTTGCTTTGCGAAATGAGGGGTGGGTTAATCCCGTAGCAACATGAGCCAGGCTTTGCTCACCTTTTAATCCTGTTAATATTTCATGTTCCTCCCGCTGGTTTTCCAAAAGTTTCGCCTCCGCTTTCTTCGTTATTTCGATACCCTGCACGCTCAGGACCGCGGACCACTCCCGGTTACTGGTATGAGGAACATTCGCCTTGACTCGTTACCTAACGGTAGACCTGTCGCATCTCGTGGTATGCAGTTGAGATTGCAGTCAAAAAGTTGAACCAGAACTGATGCCTGATTATCAAGACTGCGCGTTGTGCACAAGGCGGCGGATCAGATGTGATCGAACCGTTCCCTCGTGCCTCAAATGCGCGAGCCGGAACCATGAATGCCCGGGCTTCAGTTCCATCAATTTGAAATGGGACCAGGGTATCGCGAGTCGTGGCAAATTTGCCGGAAGCATGGTACCAATACACAGAGGCAAGGCGTCAGTTTTCAATGACTCAATGCGTAAGCCCCACGCCCGAAGACCCAAAGCGATAACATTCCGATCACCCCAAACGCGCGCTGAGCTCTCTGTATCTTCCATTAGGTATCATGGAGACCTACTAGAAGTAGCTTCTGGCGCATTGCATCGTGCAAGCCAAGATCAGTACCTCGTCAATCGATGTGCACGTGTCATACTACTTGACAGGTTACTCGATCACTTCAGCACCGGAGTCGTCCCCCGACTAACCTGGATCGAGCTCCCAGACAACCTTTGGCCAACAACTTTGCGAAGCCTCGCACAAGGCTCCAGATGTCTTTACTTGTCACTGAGTTGCCTCGCCGCTGCTCATCTGTCCGCAACTCAAATAGGCACAATCAGCGAGCGCTCTTCTTTTAAGCAGCTACATGATCGATTGCGCGAACTCAGCCTCCAGTCCGTGAACCAAGGAATCGCGAGGGTTTTGACGAACACGCCTAGCGGCCTAAGTGGAGAGTCCCTCCATTTGTGGCTGACTGAAACTCTTGCCTCTATAATCGCGCTCTGCTATGCAGAGGCTTTTAGACCAGCCCCAACGAGATGGAAGCTTCATTTATATGGATGCCGCACGGTGGTAGATCGCCTTTCACTGCACCGGGAACTGGGACCTGAGCGGTTAGTCGAGAAGTTTCTACTTAAGGAAGTCGCAGACCTCGAGGCGCTTAGCGATTTTTCGACTCCCACTCTGATGTCGCCGATATCGACAACGAGGGCCTCGACCCTTGCCTGCGGTAACTCATTCTGGGGATTCACCGATCTGATCAGGGAGATCTCATTTACTGAGAAGAAACACCAGCATGCCTCAGGAAAAATGTCTGCTATTGACATGTCCGCTTGGCATACACGAGCCGATGAGTCCTATCATGGAATCATAAGCAACGTTCGCGATATGTGCGGCCGGCAGGGAAATATAACGTGTTTCGAAAGTGTGGCGCGCGCACATCACTACGCCACTGTTGTTTACAGCTACCAAGCCCTTGCCCCTGAAGTTATCGGAGAAGCCACAGTTGCATTGGAAGCTCTATTCACGATCCTCAAAGACATGTGTACTACAGACAACGAGGCTATGACGGCTTTCTGGCATGACATGTTCTTTCCCTTACTGATCGCCGGTACTGAATGTTCTGCGGACGAGGGGTTGCAGGCCATAGTTGAGCACCTCTACCTTACTGCATTGTCTATCACAGGACTTTGGTGTAACAGTGCTTCGCTACAGTTCTTGAAAAGCTACTGGCAAAGGTCACAGGCAAATGTACACATGGTTTGGATACAATACGTTGGTAATGCGGAGTCGGGAACTGGGCCTTTCATTGTTTTTTGATTGTGGAAGTGCTTGTTGACTTTGTACCTGAATCACATGTTCACCGTTTCCTCATCTTCTACCCCAAAAAGAACCCTCGTCGGGTCCGAGTATTCCATAAAGCCAACTCCCGGTTCGCAGAGGCCGTATCCGAGCAATCTTTGAGCCTGTGGTTTCAGTGTCCTTGCTCTCTCGAGCGGTACCATCAGGAATTGATTTTCAGCAGGTCGCAACGTTGGCTTGCAGAGGAAAATGCCAACGGTCTCTCGGTAATCGTCCCTAGCAAAAACATATCGTCAGAATTATGGAGTTAAACGTTTCGGAAATTACGATGACATACTTGGTTACGTTCGCCCCGCCCCCATGGTACACATTGCCAAGGAAGATGAAGGCGTCGCCACGCTCTAATTCCACAGGTATCGTTTCTTCCTCCAAAGGCTGCCTATCCTGATCCCACAGGTGTGACCCAGGAATGGCAACAGTCGCTCCGTTCTCCTTAGTCGTCTTCGTTAGGGCAGTCACACAGCCAATCATGACCGGGAGTTCCTTGTCGTGGGGATGGTAGTCACTTGTTGTGTTTGTCAGCAGGTTCTAACATTACGAATGAACAGTGGCATACTTATCGTCCCGATGCAAAACCTGTTGTGTACCTCCTGGGTTGATACGGAACCCTACCGTAGAGGAGATGATCGGCTTTCCGGTGACTTTTTTTTTCTTATCGCCACGCCAAAAAGAGAATGTCGAAGACACCAGCGCGTTAGCTACGTCGATGAAGAGTGGCGCGCATGCAAGCTCGACGCAGGCGTCGGAATACGCAAACAATCCGGATGCACGCTGAGTCGTGCTTGGGAAGAGACCGTATTGATCTGGTTTGTCCCCATCGAAGTGAGGCCCAAGATTACTTCGAATTCTCTCAGCATGAGAAAGGGTGATCAGGTTCTCAACAATGACGCCGCCGTCCCGTTTGATCGTGTCGATCAAGTGCTGTGAAGTGGTCGAGGCACTCGAGGCGTCAAAGCGAGCGATGTAAGGCTGTGTGCGGCTCCCGGGTACCATGTTTGATGTACTGAGGAATGGTCTTATTGCGTTAAGTTAGCAAAAGTTGCAGCTGCATGGGCACTTATATACAAGTCAGCATTCGCAGACGCCAAGTCTTCCGTGTAGAGCATTGCAAATCTCAGCCCAGAAAAGTCGTCATATGCGCCTTGCAACGTCAAGCTTATGGTGATGGCCAAAACAACACGAAGAGCGTAAGTGTTTCTCTTCCGACTTGCTCTATCAGTACGCAGACTACCGTGCCGGAGCTCGTGCCGCACGGTTCCGCGTTCCGCACGCGATCACCAAAACAACGAAATATCCTCAACACTACAACTCAACAACGCGATGACTTTAGAAGACGCACTTAAAGACACACGCGCAGCTAATGCGCGCGGTGAACTTTGCTACCAAAAAATTGCAGATACACATGGTGTTGATCGTTCGACGTTGTCGCGATATCACCAAGGCGTTCGCAGCACCATGCAACAGAAGATCAAACAACAACAGAACCTCACCCCCTACAAAGAGCTAGAGCTTGTCGATTACATAGATCAACTCTGCAGAGAGCACCTTCCGCCTACGCGCGATATGGTTCAACATTTCGCCTCTATTATCTGCGGATTTGAGGTTGGGAAGACCTGGGTTACACGCTTCGTCCAGCGGCATCACGAAGCGCTTACTCCACAGTGGACCTCCGCCATGGCCTCCGAACGTCACGCCGCTGATTCCTATAGTAAGTACAGCTTGTACTTTGACATGTTAGAGCTCAAAATAAGCGAGAAGGGTATAGAGCCTGAGCACACATACAATATGGATGAGAAGGGCTTCATGATTGGGAAGATTGGCAAGCAGAAACGAGTGTTCAGCAGGACAAGCTACAGCAATAAGCGCTTCCGGCAGGCCTTAGAGGATGGCAACAGAGAGTG